TACCGGGTTTTTTGAACAAGTCCAAGGGCTTATTCGCATTCAGCTTCTTGCCTTGCACCTTCCTGTTCTTCCAATAACCGGAGCCTGTTGCTTTATTGGAACTAGGTGTCTGGGCCTCAGAAGACTCCTTGGCTTGGGACACCTTATACACTTCCTCCACCTTTCTACACTGGTTTACAAACCGACTGAATTCTCGGATGTCACAATTTGACATCTTCAACCGCCAACTCCCGACCTTCAGCTTCTAATGGCTGCACGGTATTTGTCCACCTCTTCTGCTTCCTGCATATAAACAGAGTAAGCCAACTTCTCCATAGCTTGGAGCCATTTTGCAGCCGCCATTGGCTCATAACCTCCCTTAAAAGAAGGGGGTTTATGTTTTCGGAAAGCCATCAATCTCCTTTCCTCCATTTCATGATCACCGACATTTTCAACTTGAGGTTGACGAACCTCGGTGTGATGACTCAGACTCCCAGAGTGGTGACTACCTTCACCCTCATTGTTACCCACTCCACCCTCTTCCTGTGACGGAGGTGGAGAAGGCGTAGCAGTGTGAGGAGGAGGAGTGGGTTGCCGGTTCACGGGCCTAGGACCCCTCAACGTCCTCAGCTCGGTCATCATCGCGGCCATAGCAGTCCGCGAGTCTTCATTTGTCTTTAACAAATTTTCATTGGCTTGCCTGCTAGCAGCCAACTCTCTCTGAACGGCTGCAAGAGCTTCAGCCACGGGATCAAGCGGTACGCCCGTTGCCCCACGGCCACTTCTAGGCCTCACAAGAGCAGCCAAAACAGGTTCTGGCTGAGCATTGGTGTTTGATGGTCCGGGGTTGTTTCGGTTCCTCGTCATGTCACTACACATGTTACACAAAGAAGTGAGTTGATCAGGCCCACACTTAGTGATCACAAATGCAATAATCATACAGAGTACTAAAACAACTATAAAGCATCAAACACTAAGCATACTCAACAATAGCTAACAGTTATTCCCAACGAAACTGCTCTGATACCATAAAATGTAACACCCCGTTCTAGAACCGGTTTGTTAACATCGCATTATGATATTAAGCGCAGTTACAATCACATGGGTTCCATTAAAATCCGGATAAATTTTTCATTTTAAAACGTACCGAACTTATAATACCCAATTTCGTGATCATAACCATATTACCTTGCGGAAACAGATAAATTAAGCTTAACATCATGTTCATTTCCCATTTTTAAACCATTAATTTACTTCTTGTTTAGTTCAATACTTCTACTATATTGTAGGTTTCTTCATTAGCTACCTGTGGCTTCAAACCGTGCTCAAATCGGAGCACTGTAGCCCAAGTTAGGACCATTTGAAGCAACACAAGAGAGTGTTGGTCACAGGCCCAGCGCGCTTCAGCGCGCTACCGGGCGCTCAAGCGCGCGCTATCGGGCGCTAAAGCCTCCATCTGGGCGCTTAAGCGCACGGAGGCAGTAAGCATCAGCATTTCCAGTGTGGATGGGCGCTTAAGCGCGTGACAGGGCGCTCAGGCGCGCTAGCCTGGGCGCTCAAGCTCCCACTGGGACGTTTTAGCGCGCAGAGACAGAAGCATCTCCTCCTTCGCGCTCCAGCGCGAGGAGGCAGAATGCATTGGCACTCGCAGGGGCAGCAGGGCGCTTGGGCGCGCTCCTGGGCGCTTAAGCGCGCTGCCAGGGAATTCCAATTCCCACATTTCTCAAGTCCAAGCTAGGGGAAAATGCATCCCCATTACAAACCCCAAATGTCCATGCCCCAAAACTAAATCCTAGCACTCATCCAACCTCTCCTCATGAGATTTAGTTAGAATTTGGACAGCATGACCTTTGTTTTCTCATCGTTTACCAGTTTAAACGAAGAGGGTACCTAATTGATTTTCAGCCCAACCAATTCAACAACTCAATACATAACAAGCATGCATATATTGAATTCCAAGTAGGCGTCATTTACATTACATATCCTTTACAAATCATAGAACTTAGCTTACAAAACACTATGATCATTCCCTTGGCTCCCATCAACAAAAGGTGTAACCAAAGGCATGAGCATAGGCTAAGTTCATCCAATGAATCAAGATATACAAATGATCATGGGCTTTCAAAATAAAATCCTATACATGTCAACTACAAAAGGCATGCATAAACTCAAAGAAGTGCCATATTTCATGCATAATCTAGGTATGGCCACTTGCCACCAGAGGCTCCTGCAGCATCCTTACCTGAAAGGGGGTCCCCACAACACGGGGTGAGATATACGAATATATCCAGTAAACCAGGGGTCCTTGGAGCATCTCTCCACCCCACAGTTCCATACCAGTGTAATAGCAGTAACAATAATAATGCAGTAAATACATATCTATGCAAAGTGCAATACATCTCCAGGAGAAATCCCTCGAGCTCTCAAGCTGTCCTAAGGAAACTCAGATGCAAATAGTCCTACTGGCCAGCTAACTACCAAGTATGATTTACGCATCGTCATGCCACATACCAACATAGGGAAACACCATCCTATGCCACACCAAATGCATACACATACGTATAACAAAGCATTACACTATTTTATTGCATTTATATACACAATCACAACCTCCACCCTTTCAGGGCTTGGTAGAACAGTCAAGGGAATTACACCCAAGGTCCGAAGGCTTACCTCAATGCTTCAGTCAACCTTTGTTCTTCACCAACAGTTTCAGCAATCAACTTTTACAAACATACACCTACACATGGTGTAATGCAATCAACACATTGCATCCAAGAGTATTTCACAATCAACCATCAATTACTCAATTCAAAGCACAACACAAGTATGAGCTTACCAATTCCAATGAGCTATTCAAGCTCCATAGCTTGCTCCAATGGTTGATCACTCACGGTTGGTCCAAATGTCTCAATCCTAGACATCACAAGGATCCAATCAATCATTCAACTCACTAATTGTTCAACATGCTAGAATACTAACCAATCCAAGCATGAATTTTCCAATATTGTGAACAATTATCAAATGACTATCTAGGCTCATTTCCACCGATTAAATGACATTCCTAGCATTTTCCATAACATGCTCTAAGCTCCATTCTTCCTAGAACATAGCTAATTCAACTACATTTCATAAAAATCCCAATTTACTATTCACAAACCCTAACTCATGCAAATTTCAAGGAATCATGAGGTTCAAGGGTTAGAATCTTACCACCAATGGTCACACAACCAAGGATTGATGGCTCCTCAAGCTTCAATGGAGGTAGAAACTCTCAAAACCCCAAATTTCTCCAAAGGGCCGAATTTTTGAGAGGCAATATCCCTCTCCACAATGCTCCCCACTCAAAACAAAGCTAGGATTATGAAAGAGGGGAAGATTTAGAGTGGTTTAGGCTTTTGAATCACTCCAATCGGTTGGGATTTGCTCCCTCCTCTCTCTCTTCTTCTCTCTCCCTTTCTCCTCCTTCTCCTTCTTCTTCTTTCTCCTTCTTTTCTATTTCTGGCGTCGACGGGCTGGGTGGGAAATGAGGGTCATTTGGTGACTTAAGTCACTTAACATAGGTTAAGTGGCTCTAAGCGGGTATTGGTTCGTCTATCTATTTAACTCCAATAATTACCAAACTTTACCCAAAAGTCTGGAATATTATTCTAGGAATATTACTATTTTTATTTTTATATTTTGGGTACTTTTGACAGTACCCATTTATACCCCCTTAATTTTCACTGAGTACACTTTTTAACTCCAAAGTGACTCAGATTCATTTTATTAAGCCTCATACTTAATTTCACCCAGTAAAACATGTTTAATTAATTAATTACACTTGATTTCCTAATTAATTAATATGGGCTATTATATATATCCTTAAGGAGAACTAAATTAAAAATGTAAACTAAATTAAAACGAAAAACTACATGAAAAGCAGAAATTAATTGAGAAACAAAATTAAATTAGAAACAAAAACTAAATGAGTCAGCAATAGCAGATGCTTTCCATCCTAAGTTGGGTTCAAAAAAAAAAATAGTTTATACTCTTCATGGAACTAAATGAAAAAACGTAAACTAAATAAAAATGAAAACTACATGAAAAAACGTAAATTAATTGAGAAACAGAAACAAAATTAGAAACAAAAAACTAAATGAATCAGCGATTGCAAAAGTTTTCCATCCGAAGTTGGGCTAAAAATAATAATAGAATATAACCTTAATGGGAACTAAATAAAAAACGTAAACCAAATTAAAACGGAAACTATATTTCAAACGAAAATTAATTGAGAAACGAAAACTAAATTATATTTCAAACGAAAATTAATTGAGAAACGAAAACTAAATGAGAAATGGGAACTAAATGAGTCAGCAGTAGCACAAGTTTTTCTTCGAAGTTAGACTTAAAACAATAATAGTATATATCTTATGGGAACTAAATGAAAAACATAAACAAAATAAAAAAGTAAACAAAATGAAAACGAAAACTACATTTCAAACAAAAAATAAATGAGCAACGTAAACTAAATGAGAAACAAAAATTACATGCAAATCGAAAATTAAATAAAAAACATAAACATTCATATGATGAGTCTCGGGGAGGCTTAATGCTTGTAAGTCTACTTTATCCCTCCATTTATAATTGTTTGTCAACCAACGAGCTTTTTCACAAAAGTTCGTTTATAATTTGTTGTTGCTTATGGATATTTCTTTTATTATATTTTTTTGGGATGTCTGTACCATTGAATTTCAAAAGTGAGAACTGCCTTTTGCTCACATTCTTCTATTTCTGCATCGGCATGATAAACCATCAAATTCATGCAACATCGATTCTCTTATTTCTGCAGAAATTCCAAATCCAAATGATAATCCTATAGTTTATAAAGTTGTTAAGAATTTTATCTCCATGTAGACAGGCAAACCTAAAATTAGCTTGCATGAATGGTGGGAAGTATACTAAACATTTCCCCAAGAAATTCTTATCTAGAACTATAATTGATGAAGGTTTTCTTCATTACAAATTACAAAAGGGGAGATGATGGTATAATGGTAAGCAAAAAAAGAGTCCATCTTGATAATCGATATTTTGTCCTACATAATGCTAATATGCTATTGAAATATCAAGCTCATATTAATATAGAATATACCTGCCAAAGTAGTGCTATAAACATACACATGATCGAGTTACAGCGACTCTTCACAATTATATGCATATATCCAAAGAATTTTGTCTTATTTACATCTCTCAAAATCTCTATCTAAATTGACATATGAAGAATTGCTCCAATATCGGTGGTCAAATACAATTGTTATTGGTCCAGTTAAGTAATATAACATACACACAAATAAATAAATAAATCTGTACAAAATAAATAAATCAACCTCCCCACCACCCCCAACCCTTTTTGTAAGCCAGTTCACCTAAAAATCCACTACCTTACCAAAACATGATAGTCTTAACAGATATATTCAAAGCAAAAACTCCACCACTCACCCTCAAGTCAAGGAAAAACAGAAAACCAAGGAGCTAGGTGAGACACCTCACTAGCATTTCTCTACAAATAATTATTGTATCACTGACAATACCGATGAAATAATTCAAGAAAACATATACTAATATCCAAATTCCGAAGTCCATTATTTTGTAGCCATTAATGCATATCCCCCAATAATATTCAGACATATAGCATTCCAGATAACATAATTCATCGTGAAGAGTTCATCCTTTGTCTACTACACACATTTAGTAAATTTACATCTAAAATAGCTGTGTTTAAAGGTTTGCAGCAAGAAGAAAGTTTTACATTGACAGAAGAAGAATTGGGTCTGCAGCAAATATTGTTTTTATGTTCTTTTTCTTTTGTTGAAGAGGAGGGTGCTAATAGAAGTCTTAGAGTCGATTAATACACCCAGAAACCAATAGAAGTTTGTTATTCCAACATCATTCAGACTTGTGAGGTATCATCAGGTGAATCCACCTCCAGTTGAGCAAATATAAACCTAAAATAAAATAATAGAGATACTGTGTCAAGCTTGATCATTTAGAATAGAACAAAGTAGTAACTAGGAGCAAATAAAACTAAGCATGAACGATTTACCAAAAAAAAGAAAAAAAAGAAAACCTAAGCATGAACAGGTTTCTCAGGCACTAACGATGGAGCTGGTCAATGTTTACTAAGGTACTAAAATGAAATGTTCAAATACATATATAGAATATATTCTAAATTATCAAGACTTACTATGTCAATTTTTTTTTAAAGGTGCAGGGGAGTGTTCTCAATAAAAGCCACTTTAACTTGCTACCAACAAGAAAAACTGCCATTACTACTATCTTACCTGTAGGCCAACTACTTACGTCTCTGATCATATCAGCTTCTAAGGAAATGCCACTGCTGTGGCAATCTGTACTGCGGACCATGCTCAAACGCAAATCAATCTTCAGTGCATGATAGATCTTAGTGACAATTGCTGCTTGTTTACCTCTATTGTCATTCCAAATCCCATTGCAATATGTACCTGAAAATTAAAGATTTTATTTTGGCAAATGTGTTACTGGCGTCTATGGGGATGTAGATAACAACACAGCTGGTATTTCCCAGCAAAATTTTCTTGTGAATTAAATTCCAAACCACAGGACAACTCCATAACACAAGCAAGTCCAAAAGTGACTTAATTTCTCAAGCACTAAATTTTGGTTCCAAAGGTAGGTAGCAGTTGCAGTGAAATCCACTTGATTAGGTTTCATGGTTGCCAATAAATGCATTTCAACACATTCAGTACACAAATTTATTTGGCAGTGAAAATCATTTATGCTGGTAACCTCGTTCTCCTAAAATACAATGATTCATGTGGCTCGCAGCAAAGAATAATTTTATATATAGAACTAACATGATTAGAATTGAAAGAATTTAAACGCCATGCATAGGACATACATAATAGTTCAGACCATACACTTAAATCAAAGAGTAAAAATGAACAGTATCTAGACATGCTTATTGGCTTGACACTTCAGATTTTCATTTGCATACACACGCATAAAATAAATTTTTACCCTTCCTTTTGGGGATGCCGTGGCAAGGGCTGCAAAGACACTTAAGCAAGATATTGCTTTCGGGAAGGCCTAGGAGTCATTTCTTGTATTAAGATAAGATAATTATAGACACAAGCAAATGTTTGATTTTGGTCTATTTACATGTCGTTTCATAAAACTACCACTTTATCTATTTTAGATTTGTAAGATACCAGTTAGAAACTATTACCCAAGATAAGAAACTAACAAGGTGACTGCAAATTTCTTTTAGTACCAAAATGGAAGGAAAAACTCACTATTTTCATGTCTTGTAAAACATCCATGTATGCAAAGAAGAGCTTGGGCTGCATCTTTGACAAGCTTCTACCCAATGCAGAAATCACTTGTTTTCCATAAAAGAAGACTTATACCACATTTTCCAAATCCTGCAACAAACTACAGGAGACTGGAATAAATAATAGCAATATACTAACTTACAGTAGAACAACTCCTAAGCAAAAGATTGTAAAAATTAACGAACTCCGAGGAAGAAAAACTCATAATAGTTGTTATGTCAGGAAGAAGGGCACCTCCAGGCTTCATCCTCAAATCCCTTCCATAAATGATTGAACAATGGATTCGTATAGAAGACAATATCCCATCAACACTGTGAAGTTGAAGTTGAACAGTTTGTCAATCTTTTCACGAGCCCTTTCTATTACTCACTTCTGGAAATTATCGTCTCCATTGTGGCTTTAACTCAGCCAGAAACCATTATCTTTTGCAACATGGATTAAAAATTTGAAAGAAAAAAAAATAATGAGCATGGAACCAGACATGTAGTTACAGATGTCATGTCAGAAGCTATCGAAGAGGAAATCTGTACCTGATATGCCGCCTACCATCGAGGCCCCTGCTTGAGCTGCAAACAGGCAAAGAGAAAATAATTCCAAAGTATGTAACAAATTTGTTGAACTGGACACCAAATCACAGCGACTAAACCACCAAATCTTGTAGTTTAACTGGACAACATATAGCCCCAAAACATAATTTATTGAAGCAATAGACATCAACAAATTTGTGAACATGCACCAATTAACTTCCTTAGGTATCATATTCCTTGCTGCTTAAAAACAATTGGTTTCATTATTTGAGTTGTTCCCTAGGCCCCTGCTCTGGATTTCATGGAAGTTGAATATAAAATAATGTGGTAGGGAGGGATGACCGAGAGCAACGGAGAGAAGAGTAAGGAAAATATATATTTACCGCATCAAAAGCAAAGTCATTGAAAAACTGTAATAATTCATAGAGAAAGATACCTAATATATTATGAGGCAATATTGTTCTTTCTCCTTATCTGCTCGCAAAACAGTTACTGGGCTTTGCTTCAGGTAACAGCCTGATTAGCACAAGTAGGGTTCACGAAGAATCTGTGTGGAGATATGATATATATACACTGTTATAATGTATGCTGATGTGACAATTGAAATTAACAATATTTAGTGAAGCTAAAACAACAAACAACAATGTAGCACAAGAAAGAAGTATTTAGTGACTCACATATTTCATAGTCGATCATTATGAAGGGAATGTGAGCAATCTTATGCCACTCTTTCCCTCGCTTCTTCTGCCAACTTGCTTTCAGTAATGGGCACCCGTCGATTTCCAGTCTGGAAAGAGAGGAACGCAATACCTCTTCTGGCAACGACTTGAGGTTGGGACATCTTGAAATGTTAAGTTCTTGGAGAGAGGTGAGATGCTGAAGCCACTTCCCATGCAAGCATTTTATATTATCAAGATCAGAGATGAATAGGCGCCCAAGAGAAGCTGGTAGGACTTGCACATCCATTTTCATCAGCGTGTTCACGAGATCATCACCTTGAATCCGCAACAGGGAAAGACAAGTGAGCCGTTCCAAACTCCACTCAGTAATAACTCTAGGATTCGACAAAATCCCTCCAAGTCGGGCGACACTGAGATACCGTAGATTGGTAGGCAAACCCTCTTTGGCAAAAGATTGCAGATTTGGAAGGTTATAAACTCTCAATTCTTGAAGACCAGTGAGAGTGTTAATTGGCTCTGCTAGTAAATTAAGCTTCTCACAGTTATACACCTCCAAACTAATAAGGTTAGGAGCAGGCAATCCACCTGGGGAAAATGACTCCAGTTCATTACAACTCCGAATACTGATACTTCGAAGAAAGGAGAGACTCTGCAAAACATCATCCTCTACAACTAAAATCGATTTAAGATTTTTACAACTATAAAGGTCAAGACTTTTGAGCACAGGGAGAGAGCCCAAGGTAAAGAATGTCATTGAATCACAGCTATAACTTATTTTCAAATCCTCAAGTGATGTGTAATTTTGCAATGATTCTTGAGGAAGGAATTCCAGATTCACACAAGAATCGACATCAAGTGATTGTAAGGTTTTGGGTAGACCGTCTATTGGGAAGGACTTCAGAGAGGGAAAGCCATCTATGGTTAACTTTTGAAGAGAATTGAAAGAAATCATTTGGCTGAATAGATTTGATGACCTCACAATGTTCCTATTATTATCATCTGAATTTCCTGACTCCAGCAGAGGACAACCCCTTAACTCAAGTTTAGTTAAGGAAGGAAGGTTGTTGGGTATATTTCCTTTCAGTTTGGGACAATATGAAAGGGACAGACGTCTTAGTCTAGGAAACTTTGTAGCTTCTCCTCCGATCAATTTCCATTCCTCCCAATCATCCATGTCCCTAAATGACAAAGTCTCCAATGAGGGAAATGGTTTAAATGAAGCCGAACTACTTCCATAAAATTCAGCACCCACACTCTTTACTGATTTCATCCCATTAATCATGAGTTTTTTGAGACTAACTAACTGTCCAAGTGGTGGGAGTGACGAACAATGGTGGCAATTAATTATGCACAAATACACCATTTTGCCAAATGAAGAATCACCTAACCAATTTGGAAAGCTGCTTCCACCATAGCCATCGACAGTCAGTTTTTTCAAATTTGTTGAGGGCTGCAACTGTTCAAGTACAAGACTTTCAATTTGTCGGGTGGCTTCTGTATTGCGTTCATACCAACCCCATTTTAGTCTCATCTCGTCAATCTGTTCCTTCATCTTCAAATTTGCTTGAGAAGCATCCGAGGGATGAGTAACATATTGTAGTCCAGAGATGGAAAGCTTGCCCTGTAGACGGGGAAATTTACTAAGCTCTGCAACCTTCAATCCATCTTGCTGTCCGCTCACAAAAAAAGCAGACAAGGTTTGGAGATTTTCTAGTTTGGCAATTTGTATTGGCATCTCCTGCAATTTAGTGCCACTAATGTCAAGGTGGCGTAGATTGACCAATTTTCCCATGTCCTCGGGCAATTCAATGAGATCCCTACAATCACACAACAACAAGGTCTGTAGATTGTAAATCTTGCATATTACAGAAGGCAACCTTTTAATATGAGTGCGAGAGAGATTTAAGTATCGCAGGTATATCAAATTTCCAATAGAGTCGGGCAACTCAGTGATACTTTCGTAGTTAAACAAAGACAAAGCCCTTAATTGTTTCATAGCTGGCAATAAGTCATGTATTACCTTGTTCGATAGATAATTGATTGGCCAGGAATTTTTTTCTTGTAATTGTAATGGTAAAGCTAGGAAGGTATGCAGACCTTTCAATCCATACAAAGTATCAAACTTACTAAAAGAGTCATAATACTCTTTATTGTATGACAAATGACGTACTCTTTCAAGATTCCCATGCAGCTTCCTTTCATCCAACCTGATACAATATGAAGAAGAAACCATTGTAGCTAAATCATTGATGAGGTCGTGCATGTCATAGCTTGATTCTCCATCAACAGACTGTCGATGTATCAGGGACCTTGACACTAGTTCATCAAAGTATTCATCACCTACTTCTTCCATGCTTTTCTCACTCTTGGACTGATACACTAAGCCTTCTGCAATCCACAGCTGAACTACGGTCTTTTTGACTAACTTGGAGTTCTTTGGAAAAATTGAACAGTATGCAAAGCACTGTTTTAATGGAGCTGGAAGATATTGATAGCTCAATAGCAGAGCTCGATGCACATTAACATTTGGCAAATCCCAAATGTTACTTTTTAATACCTTCTTCCAGTCATCTTCCGATGACTTGGTGCGAAGAAGACCCCCAAGTGCTATTGCGGCTAATGGTAAGCCATCACATTTGTTTGCAATTTCTCTACCAATTACTTCTAGGTTGGACCGTTCCCCGTGGCAACTTGCTCTAAATGCATGTTTGGCAAGTAAAGACCAGCAATCTTCACTTTCTATGGGTCTCAAATAGTGGATAGGAAGAAAGGTTTGCATGGCCTTTGCAACACTTTCATCTCGTGTTGTGACGATGATCCTACTTCCTATTTCTCCAGCATTAAAGATGTCCATTAGATCGTTCCATTCAACATAGCTTCCATCCCATATGTCATCCAATACAAGCAAAAATCTTTTATGGCTCAAGCTTTGCTGCAATTTTATTTGCAGAGTGTTCAAGTTCAGCTTATCGGGACTAATTGTTTCTGAAGTGACAGAATCAAGAATGGTTTTGGTAACCCTACAAACATCAAACTCCTTGGAAATATATGCCCATGCTTTAACATCAAATTTCTGTTTTAAATCAGAATCATTAAATAGGAGTTTAGCAAGAGTTGTTTTACCGAGCCCTCCCATGCCCACAATGGAAACCACTCCTATTTTACAACCATTAACATCTTCTGACAGCAAATAATCTTTAAGTTTTCTTCTATCATCATCTCTGCCATATATAGCAAATTCATTTACCACAGAACCTGTAGGAGTTCCATGCCAAACACTACCAGAAACACCTTCTTTCAATCCAAGAAGGTGTCCCTTCTGTGCAAATTGTTCTAATCTTTCAAACAATGTTTGCATTTTTGAATTGATCACCTTATAAGACCGTTTAAAAGGAGAAGAAAGGAAGCTGGGCACCTTAGCGCTGAAGGTTTGACCTTGAGACTCGGCTTTCATTTTGCTTCGCAAAGCCTTAGTGTTGATTTCGTCCAATAAATCATCAGTATCGAAGACAGCATCTGTGAGCACATCCAGCCATTCCCTGACAGCAGAATTGGTAATTTGTTTCTCTTCAGCATCGTTCAGTACAGCTTGAAGACTCAGCAGTGTTATTTTCATCTTTTTGAGGAGTGAAACGTCAAGCTTCTTGCTCCGAAAGAAGTCCACGAACTCACCTGAAATGATCTTGTCTAACAACAACTCTACAGAAGCAGAGAGTAGTGCTTCTCCCACAATAGCAGCAGCCATGTGTTCCTTGGATACAAAAGATGCTACGGTTTAGAATAAGGTTAGATTTCACAAGAAAAACAGGGTGGAAGTGAAGCTTGCTTCTCTACGGTTTATAAACTAATTATGGATATCAATTATTGATTGTTCCGTGGAAGTGGCTGGGAACCACACATGGACCATCCATTGTATTTAACGTACAATTATTAGTCCAGTGCTTTATGTGCAGCTGTCAACAAAAGATAAGTCATTTTCTTTGCTTTTTGCTTTTGCTTTTTTGGTTTATTTCAAAAGCAACCTGTCTCGTCCTCTTCAAAGCAGTGTTATTTTCAGATTTTCCACCCATGAACTGTTAAGCATAAATTCACTAAGATGCTACAGTTTAGAACAAGATTAGATTAACAAGAAAAGAAGGGTGGAAGTAAAGCTTGCTTATCTCTTGTTTTTTAAACTAATTATCAGACATCAATTATTGTTCCATGCAAGTAGCTGGGAACCACTCACATGGACCATCCACTGCATCTGGCATGCAATTATTACTTCCTAGTTTTATCTGCAGGACTAAGTAGAGTCAACAAAGACGTCAATTGGTACAATTTTAAATGCTATTAGATCATATTTAGTTAATTGTAAGCAGTTAATTAGTCAGTCAGTTCGAGCAAATAAAGAATGCTTTATGCATACAACTACGGTCATCTGGAACAATTTTATACTTCACCCTTTTATACTCAACACCTAGTCATATACATCTATATTTGCATTTAGATTTCACTTGCGATCACAGTTGTATCATTACGTATTATGGTTATTTTAAATTACATACGTAATGAAAAGGAAAAAGTTTACTCGTATTTTTAAATAAACTATTGTGGCTATAACTGCGCTTAATATCATAATCAATATTAATAATGCCGGTGTATAACAGGCTATTACATTCGTTGTTCTTGGAGGTGATTTGAGACAGATTTTGCCAATTATTCTTCATGGTGGAAGGCAAGAAATTGTACATGCAACAATCAATTCTTCAAATCTATGCCAATATTGTCAGATGTTGATCTTGACAAGAAACATGTGACTCCACTCACAAGGTTCTAATAATGATGTCATGGAGATTAAAATGTACTCCAAATGGCTTCTTGATGTTGGTGACAGCAACGTTGGTGACATTGTTGATGGATTCTCTGCCATAAAAATCCCAGATGGAATCTTGATTAATGATTCCAATGACCCGTTCTCAGATTTAGTAGAATTTGCATATCCAAATCTTTTGAAAAATATGGATAATTCGTCTTTCTTCCAAGAATGTGTTATCTTAGCACCTACATTAGCGGATGTCTGCATGTTAAATGAGTACTTAATGTCAATAGTTCCAGGTGAAGAGAAGGTATATCTTAGTTCGGATAATATCTGTAAAGCATAAGGGAATAACAATATTGAGGAAAAAGCATTTCCTCCAGAAATACTTGACACTTTTTTTGGAACTGGACTTCCTAACCATAAATTGACATTAAAAAAGGGAGTGTTTGTCATGCTTATGAGGAATATAGATCAATCAAGAGGGTTGTGGAATGGGACAAGATTGCTTATTACAAAACTTGGTGAACATGTTGAAGGAAAAATTCTTTCAGGCGATGTTGTGTTAATTCCAAGGATGAATTTGAGTCCTTCTAATTACACCTTCCTTGTAAAGTTTGAAAGCAGGCAATTTCTATTGGTTGTTTGCATTGCAATGACAATAAACAAGAGTCAATATAAGACTTTTATCTCATGTAGGAATTTATCTTCCAAGATCAATTTTTACTCATGGTCAATTGTATGTTGCTCTCTCTAGGGTAAAAATTAGAAGGGTTTAAAGCTTCTCATACTTGACGATCATGGCATAGTTGTCAATACTACAACAAACATTGTATTCAAAGAAATTTTTCAAAGATTGAAATAAGTTAATTTGTCTTATTTGTTGAATTATTTTACGTTAATTTACAGAATTTGATATTTCACTATAATACGTAATGTACATGTAATTTTACTGTTTATATAATTATATTTTGTACTTTTTACTTACTGCAGTCTCATGCGAAGGCACGGTTCATAAACTAGTTATATATATAAAGACAAATAACAATATAATTAAATTAATAAAAATAAAAAGAGGACAAAATATAGTATTCATGATTAGATATCTTAATAAGCTATTTTAATTGACCGCTTAATTAGGCAAATAAATTAAATAGCATGATATAATATGCCACATTCAATTGTATTACGAAATTAAATTTCCTAACAATCTTCCACTTGAGCTACATATGATCCTAAAACAATTATATCATATATTCCTTAAGCATTTAATTTTGTATTTAGATTCCATTTCAAGAACAATTTGGTCAATCACCAAAATAAACATGAGATCATAGCGGCATGAGCAAACCTAGGGGAGGGCCTAGGGTTGGCCTCCTGTGTGTATGTGTGTATATAATAATATTTGATAATTGATAGGTTATTACGGTTAAAAATTAGCTCCTCTTTCAAATTAAAAAAATTAAAGAAAATTCTATCTCTCACCCATCTAGCCATTGTTTCTCTCATTCTATGGCTTTTGTTTCTTTCTATTTCTTTTCTTTCTTTTTTTCCTTTGAATAAAAGTGTTGTAGAGTTATTATTTCCTTTGCTTAAGAAATCGGTTTCTCTTCTTGCATCATAAATCAACAAACATTGGTTTGTAATCTATAGGCGGCGACAAGGTAAGGAAAATTGATCATGTTTCTAATCTTAACTTATTCTATTTGAAATTAAATGAAAGCAATTTTCATTTTTAAAAAAATAAAATAAAATGATACAAAAAATATATCCTGATATTTTTCAATCGTTTAGCACTGCCATTCACTAAATTTATAGCTTCTTAATATGAAGAGTAAATACCATTTTTAGTTCTCAGCAAATTTCACGATACTCGTTTTAGTCTCTAGTAAATAAAAAAGCTCTTCGTGATCCTTAAAAAATTCAAAATAGACCAATTTAGTTAAAATTTTGATCCCTCACATATTCAAAAAAGACCTATATTAATCCCTAAAAGAACTAAAATAGATCCATTTTAAATTTCTTAAGAACCACGATGAGCCTTTTTATTTGCTAGGGACTAAAGCAGGCATCGTAAAATTTGCTAAGGACCAAAGATAATATTTACTCTAATATGAAATAGTAACATAGTAATTTCAATGCTTAGTAATTTCAATCCATAACTACCTAGTACTAACAACTCCAATGCTTACAGTAACGCAGATTTTTTCACTCTATCTTGTTAGTTCCCATAATTTTATATTTACTTTTTGAAAAGAATAGTGAAAAAAATAATTGTTAGCTCAGATAGAGAAATTTTCCTAACTCATTTGCCTATGTTTATAATATTTTACATGTATTGAAAAATAAAATGTTTTGAATTTTAACAAAAATTTAATTATAGAATAATTTAACAATATAAACTTACATTGATTTTTATATAAAAAAAATTTCAAGCTTTTTATATTAAGTTCATATATTGTAAATACTTTTATTTATAATATACAAATTTTTATTTTCGCCCCCCCACCATAAAAATCCTGGATCTGCCATTAGCGGCTTCGTATAAGATGCATGGAAATTACGTGCAATGCATGTAGGTAGAAGATATGTTTTGATGAAGAATAAAAAACATCAACTACACCATTCTACCTTGAGTTTCTTTCTGTTCATCATTTATTGTATTTGAACCATCAAACAAGATATAATTTTTTTTTGCTTTGTTATCACTTATTTTTTCGCAAACTAGTGGTTATGGAAAAGCACATAACTTACCCAAATTGTAAAAAGATTTAACTGCAGCTCTGATAGAAAAGTCATACCATTCACTTTGTACATATGATGACAAAATTGCAGACACAACATTAGCTGGTTAAATGCAATTCTTTAGCTGATCACCTGCTCCTTGAAAGAAACAATAAGAAAGAGCAAAATCAGCAACGAAGATGCCAACAAGAGAAATAACCACAGCTGAGGTTGTTGATTCCCCAACACCTTTAGCACCTCCCAAAGTTGTAACTCCCCATGCACAGCTCACTATAGATATGATAGCACCAAAAACCTGTGACTTGATCATTGCACTAATAATATCCCATGATCTGAGAGCTCGCTGAGCTGAATCTAAGATAATGTTAATGCTCACCCCATAAACACTATCAGCAAGTAAGGCACTAGATGCCATTCCTAATGTAAAACACAATAGAGTCAAGAGAGGTAAGGCAATACAAGTGGCGATTACTCTTGGCGTCACCAGATAATCAACCGGGTCTGAACCAAGAACTCTCAATGTGTCAGTTTGCTCAGAAACCTGCATAGTTCCTAACTCTGCTGCAAAAGCGCTTCCAATGCGCCCAGCAACCACAATTGCTGTAACCACTGGACTCAGCTCCCTTGAGAAAGCCAGAGCTAAAACCCCACCCACAGATCTATTCAATCCCAGCCTAGTGAACTCCCTCACAAACTGTATCGTGAAGGCCATGCCAACAAAAGCTGATGTTAAAAGACATACCCCCACCGATCTTGGACCAACTCTCTCAAGTTGTTGAAGAGTATTCCTCCAATGAATCTTTCCCTTTAGAGTCTTCATAATTACCTGTCCTGCCAGGATTAAAACTGATAATCCCCTCCACAGGTACCTCGGAGGTGACCAGTTGCTGAGAAAGGTTGGTGAAATGCCATTAGGAGCATGGTTTGTGTTCATTTCATCATCTACTATAGAAGCAGATGGAAGGCTGCCATCGGCGTTAGGAAGCACAAACAATCTATTTGGTTTTATGGGAATGGGAGAATTATAAATATTGGATCTCCCATGGAATTCACATTTCCAATCCAGTTGAGAGGGATATGGTGCACCAAATTTCACTGAACTAGTCTTCACATTTGTACTGAAGTTTCTGCAATACGGTTATGTTCCATTTTACAATCATTAACATAAATTGTAGAAAACAGACATCATTAAACAAGGGAAAAAGAGTAAGTGTGAACCTGCAAGAGAAATGGAATATAGGATGACTATAAGATGCTGTTTGCATGGTCAGATCCTTGACTTACAGAATCTGTTTGAATTTGTGGGTAATCCAATTCACTACATTAGAGAAATGAACGAAGCAGGATAGACTGATAGCATTAAAGGTCTGTAATCTGTATGCCACAATTTCAAGATCTTGATGAACAAACAACATGAGATTCAATAGACACGTAAATTACAAAATAAAAAAGCAGTAGTCAGATTGCCCTTATGGCTTCCATTTGGAGGATTATGGCAGTTTGGACGGATTTTCTGTTTCTTATATGTAGAGAGAGACAGCTTTCCTGCATTCTTGGTGTTTTGGACAATAACTTATCCTCCCCCTTGTTGTATTCTTTACTAATAAAAGTTCTTTTTCCAAAGAAAAAAGCAGCATTAAAACTAAGCCATAGTTGGCACTAACCAGTTTTCACAAAGGAAAATGCTGATTTTCATGCGAACCATTTTGCAAAAATTCTACATTTGAATGAATAGATAAATGAGACAGGTGTCACAAGGCACTGAAACGGCACCAAGATGAGAAGCAACCAAAAGTTTATGGAATCGCAACCAATTTTTATTTAATAAAGTTAATTGGAAAAAACTTCATTGCACAGTAGACTAAAATTGAGATCAGGTTCGATTGTTTAATTATATCAAGGAAGGGTGGAAACTAAATCCCACCATATCCTTAATACATCTGTCCCAAGACAGTCAACCTAAATCTAATTGTGCAAATTATTAAACAACCTTGGCAATGTTCTTTTTACCCTCAAAGAGTTACATGACAAATGTAAAGCAATTCACAAAATAATTTTTTAAAAAAAACCAAAGATGACATGAAGACTCAGAAGAATAGGCTACTATTTTATTTTTAACACCAAAAGGAATAAAGTCAAGCAAAAAGAAAAGTCTTTAAATATACTTGCTAGTTCATTAATTTTCTTTTATGTTTTTGACTGTAAGTAAAGAGGGAGAGCAGGGTTAAAGAAGCTTCTATGTGACTAAAAGGTCACGGGTTCGAATTCGGGAAACAACTTATTTGCAAATATTCAAGGGTAATGTTGTGTATAAGAATAGCCCTCATCCCTACCCTCATTAATTTGGGTTTAATGGAAAGTGGTTTTTGGTTTTCTACTATAAATGATATTTTATTTTATTTTATTTATTTAGACTTTAAACAGTAGTCCTCATTAAGTGAAATTCAGCAATGCAGGAAATGTTTACACTAGTCCAACAACAACAAACAAAGGCTGATCGAATTACTGACCCCAGCTCATGTGGGCCAAGGCCAAAATGCCCATAAGACCAGACAACCCACAAAGCTAAAAGCCTAAAGGGCCAAAAAGCCCACGGGGGCAGGTTAAGGCCATCCCACTAAATAATTTTATAGAAAAGCCCACCCCTTTAGGGATTGGCCCTAAGCATTAACAATCACCTTGTGAATATGCACATACGCAAGCCAATTACCCATAGCAATGTTTATGGACATTAAACTGTAGTCTATATTACAAAATACATTAATTGGAATAAAGTGTAATTAAAACAAAATTCGTATACATTAAAATAAACAAAAGAATAACCAAAAAGCAAAACAAGCAAGCAAATAAATTTAATTTAGAATGCAAAAAAATTCTCCAGCAAAAGTTCTAACAACCTGTGCAGGAAGCTCAAGCTTTGATCCCAAGTTATCACGATCCTTTACTTCCTACCTTCCTCCAAAAGCATTAAAAAGAGCAATTAACGATATTATTAATAGGCTAAGAAGTAACTTGGAAACACAAACTAGTAAGACAAAAGATTAAGTTGAACAGACGTTATATAAAATAATATAAAACACAACAGATGTTATGCTCCTTTTCCACAGAAGATTCACAAGTAACTGAACAAAAACTAAAAGAAAAGGGAGGCTAAGCAGATGAGACTCCTGTTATTGTGAAACTTGGGGAGCATATACGTAGCCTAGCCCCTATGAGCAGAGAGACTGCTTTACTTCAATTTTGTCAACATATATACAAGAATTTGATATCAGGTTCCCTCAAACATTAGCTAGATGAATCTCTAGCAAGTTGGACTCCCTTTAAGGGTACCTTTATTGGCTAGCAGTGGTGTCGAGATATGCATGGAGGAATACACCAAGGCCTTTCCCCCAGCTAGTTGTTGGACACCACGGAATAAAAGGCAAGAAAACCACTCCTCCTTCGAGGTTTTCTTTTCTTTTATGAAATTTTAGTCAATTTCTATATGTTTATTTCGGTCTTGCCACACTGAATCATAACCAATGCTATTTACAGCTTTGTTATCATGTTTAGAACTTATGGTGAATAAAATGACATTAAAAGTAATGCAGACCCACGGAATAAGTATCAATGTTAAATCAACACTGCATTACTTTTAATATGTCATCTTATTCACCATAAGTTCTAAACATGATAACAAAGCTGTAAATAGCATTGGTTATGATTCAGTGTGGCAAGACCGAAATAAACATATAGAAATTGACTAAAATTTCATAAAAGAAAAGAAAACCTCGAAGGAGGAGTGGTTTTCTTGCCTTTTATTCCGTGGTGTCCAACAACCAGCTGGGGGGAAGGCCTTGGTGTATTCCTCCATCAAAGTTTAATATAAAATTACTATAGCGGAAATGGAAAAGAGAGATTTGAAAAATAGGAAAATATTTATTTACCTATTCGAATCAGTCATTTCAGAGAGATTTGAAGTCTGCAGGTTACAAATTTGATGCCTGCATGTAAAAAATTAGGACAGATCAACATAGGTAAGGTAAAAAAAATAGCAATTAGTATAAGTAAAAGTGTGTTAAGAAGCTAAGTAACAACTAAAAGAATAGAATGATTAATGGACCTTAAGAAGCTAAGTAACAACTAAAAGAAGGCCTTAATCCATTAGGTGAAGTCTGCACTAGAGGCTCAAATTGCTTTATACATTGAACTATAAATACCAACAACTTAAAGCCTGAGTCAATTAGAACATGTTGGCAGAGCACCAATACCTTAATAAAAGAATAAAAAAAATCATCGAATAAAAGGAATCTCCTGTAATTGCATAACCATTAACACAAATAGAAGAAACAAATGGAGGTTAGCTTAAAGAAGTAAGCATTATGGTTTAAGAAATATAATTTTTAATGATTTGTACATTTGTACCTGTTTTATTTGTAGTTTATTAATACCTTGATTTCATATTGAACCACTATTATATTGAAGTACTATTCCCCACGTGAGAAGCATATATTACCTACGCATCATACCCTCTTAATACCTTATCACTACTTGATTTTGTAAAAGCAGCAACTGACGGGAACCTATCCAATGCTCCAAAAGAACAAACATATTTCAAGAATTCATTAGCTAGGAACAAAACACTCAGTCCTCCAGCAGTCTATATTTATCAATGTTCAGTTCTGAGTCACCATCAACTATTCCAAAATGAATATCTACTATATCAATCCATCAAAGTCCATCTCAATATCTTTCTGCAACTTACAAAATCTATAAACAAGTGAGGAGATGATAGCCAGGTTCCATTCTTATGGTCAAAACAAATGAAGCTACTCAAAGATGGAACTGGTAAAACTCTTACAACACTAAGTGTTATTGGATCTTGAGCAGCATAACATTTGAAAGTTTTTAATGGATATAAGAATATTAGTTGAAAGAAAGGAGAGATAAGAAATCCTCCTAATAAGAAAATAGCAAGCCACCGTTGCTAAAAAATGCAACAAAGCTCCTTTTATCTAAAAAAGAAGCAAGAAAGCTATCCAATCTTGTTGCACTTCAGTAATAAATTCCCTTGAGATTGATAGTGAGCAGAATACCAAAGAGAGGCCACAAACACAATCCTATCCCATACCATACCAATTAGCAAATACAACAAGGTAATGAGACAACCTTGAAAATATGGACTATCCTCTCCAACCAGATAGACAGCAGCATCTTCCTTAACTCATTAAAAATGATTTGTACATTTGTTAAAAAATTGAAAGCCCAACTAAATGAAATGAAAAGAAACAACAGTAATACTCATTGGTCTCCAATCTCCAGCAGGAGCTGCTCGTGGTCAGGTACGTCTGTCTTCTGTTGGAGATTAAGCATATTTCCACGATTGTAGGTTAATCAAACATAAGCAGCAACTACGCATATATATATATATATATGTGTGTGTGTGTATATTATATATATAATATCAACAAACACACGAAACAGCTTCTACAAAACCAAAAATGCTCTCTCAATAGATGTATATAATGACGAAATTGAAATTCGATGAGTTATTGGACAGAAAAAGGAGAAAAGGTTAAAATAAACAGCAGCATCGAATCGAATCAGAGAATAAAAATCCAGATCGAAGGGGAAGGGGGGAATGAATGACCTGAGGAGATGAGAATCAGTGATGTCCTGCAGCGTAGTGTTGGCGCTGGTGTTCGAGGTGGCGACGCTCGTTAGGGAGAGCGAAGATGAAATGGGGGAAACAGCAAATCTGTTTGAGAAAATAATTTAGAAAACAAAACAAAACGGTAAACTAAATAAAAAGCAAAGTGTGAGAAGACCTTAATGTGAACAAGGGTTCTTCGATTGCAAAGTGTGAGAAAATAAACAAGGCTGTCCGAGGAAATGGTGATGGTCGGCTGGTCGCAGCTGCTGTCGGAGTGTGGAATGAAATGGGTTCGGTTGGGCTGAGATGAGACGAGATGAAATGAGCGACTGAGATGCGTACTGAGATGAAATGATAAAAGGGGCACAATCTTAGGGTTGGACAAAAGAACCAAGGAAAGTGACGAGTGAGGACGATATAATAAGTGGGAGGCAGTTTTGTAGTTTTCATATTATTATTTTTTAATTAAAAAAATTCTCAACTCGCAAATTAGTCCGTTTGACTTTCAAACTGGCTCGTTTGGGTCTAGATTGTATCGGGTTGAGTTGACAGCTCATTTAAGTCAACTCAACTAATTTAGGACAGGTTGCGAATCAACCCGAACATTTTTGTCAACCTAAGTTATTTCAAGTTATGTTGTAATAATATCTATTATAATAATAATTTGATTTTAGCTTCAATAAAATTTATTACTTAATTAATGTTTAGTTTTGAGAAACTATAAGGGGTTGCTATATTTAATTTTAAGCACATATTATGGTTTTAAGATAGATATGTATTCAATGTATATTAATTTTATTAAAATTTAGTTGTAATAAATTAGTTTATGTTAATTAGATAAAAGAGATTTTATGTCAAATAGTTAACTTAGCCAAAAATATTATTATTAAGTATGTTACCCTTATATTGTCATGAATAATGGTATGACCTAGTCTTCTAACTATAATGGTTCATCATTATCATGAGTGAGTTGTTCAGAACGAGCAGGTAAATTGAGGGTTTGATATACAATTTGAAAAAGAGGAATTGTTATGATAGAACTTATAATGACCCCCAATTGATAAATCTTAATTAGAGATTTAAATTAAGAATTTAAATATCATAATTAGATTTAGAACCTGATTTCGAGTATTTTGATAGTAATCATGACTAGGTCATGAACAATGTCTTCTGCCAGGTATTCTGCACTCTTGTGTAGCAACCGGTAAAGCTTGAAAATGAGTGAAATGAGGTTAGAGACCTAATTTGGTGATTCTGATGCTAAATATGAGTTCAGAACGAAAAAATTGTATAGTTTGACACTTTTCGCAAAAATATCGTGAATAGTGTTTTCTGCTGGGTATTCTTCACTGCTTTGAAGCAACAGGTAGAACTCAAAAATAAGAAGAAAAAAATCCAATTTATGACATACAAGTCATTTTAGGACAAAAAATGTTATTTTGATAAGTATAAGTGTATGTTGTATAAATTAAGCGAAAGGAAAACATCCGTTAAAAGACCACATGTTAATATAAGTCTAAAGTCACTTAAAGGACATTATTCACTCATCTTTCTTCCTCTTCTCTCTCCTCAAGGCAGACCCCTCCTCTTCCATAGAGCTTAGGATTTGCATTTTCTTCTCTTCTTGAATTCTCCTCCCACACTCAACCAAATACTAAAGTATATCACACGAATTCGATAGTAAATCACCTAAGGAATCCATTCCACTACTTGGTTTGGCCTGAAATTGCTTGTGTGTAGAGTTCTTCCTTCTCTCAATTTCGTGGCACTATTCACAAGGTCAAGAAAATGGGGTTTTTGATGAGCCAAGCTTGGTGGATGATCTTAGGGTCTTGGATTGTTGATTAGAAGTAAAAAATCTCTATTCCTATGATTCCAATTTTGATTCCCAAGTCTTGAATGTTTAAGAGCATGTAAGGTGTTTGAGGAAATGCTTGAGAGAAAAATCATGTGTATCATTTGAATTTTGATGGGTGTAAATGAAAAATGAGTTGCCAAAATTCTAAAAATTATAGATATATACATCTGATTTTGGAATGTGATATCTCCCTCATCCTTTGGTCAAATGAGGCTCATGGTACCTCATTTTAAAGCTTGAGTTATCATCTATATTGCCCTAAGATTTGAGATGATTATATGTTGTGGTTTGTCCCAAAAGTCAAATTGAGTACAGACTGCCCAAAATCGCGAAGTGCAGGGGCTATTCCAGAAATCCAACTTCAAAAATTCATATCTCTCTCATTACTTACCCAAATTAAGCTTATGATACTTCGAATTAAATCCTTAGGTGTCTATTACAATATATTAAAATTGGAGAGAAATAAGACTTGTGGAACTCTCACAGTGACTAAAATTGTGAGGAAGGTTGGGATACCCTGCACTGTCTGAAAACAATTTTGTGAGTTGAACTTTCAAAAATCACAACTTGAGCTATATAACTCTGATTAAGGTGTATGATACCTTGTTGGAAAGCCTAGGAAGTCTAGATTAACATAATAAAATATGGAAATTATCGATATATAGTTCATTTCCAGCTTCAGTTTGAATAAAGGTAACTCAAGTTGGAAAAATATGAAAACACTAAATTGGGCCTTATGGGTTATGGAAACCATTTGGGTATATTAGATAAGTGTTGTAAACCTTTGGTTGGATTAAATAAAAAATAAAATAAGGTGGCTCCTTTGTATGGCCTTAAAATGAGTTTTGGCCATTTTCAAAGAAGGAATACGTTCAGAGATACTGCTTCACAAAGTGAGAACACTTTTATGCGTAAAATAATTTATGTAGGTGGCTAAGCTTGGGTTTAGGCACTAGACAAAGAGAAATCTTATAGCTCCTTTATAATGGACACTCTGCCCTAAATTAGGAAAAATAGGCTTTAAGGTGCTAAGAGAAGTAATGAGTGTTCTGAAGACCTTTTGCGGCTATCCTGAGACTAGGTGAATGTGTGGAATTATATGAGAAATTGTTGAGCAAAGAACCACCACCCATGGTCTAATATGGTTAAGTTAAAAGAAATTTGGTTATGACTTGTGTGTATTGCATATAATTGGCATAAGCTTTATAAGTACATATGAAAGCAATCAAGTGTATTTGTCTTGTATAATTACATGACATTGTATCACTTATTGAGTTTGTTTTGGATTCCTTCTCCTGGATCATTTTGGAGAAAGCTACGTAGCTTGTGTGACAAATAAGCGTATTGTTAAAGCTTCAAGAGGTAAGCTCTATGTTTAAGGAGTCTTTTCCTACTTGTGTGCTCCACCATGGTTAGTGGACTATGGTTGGATTGTATTATTGTATTTGATGTTTTGTATAGATGCATTATGTAACATCCCGTGTATACCCAGTTTGTTATTATGTCATCGTATTAAGCCACGCTTAATTAAAAATGCGGAATAACTTTTTTACTTTCAATTATGACGTCATTATCATTACCAAGTTGAATTACTTAATTCATTTTCAAAACATTGCCTGTATGTAATTGCAAAAGACAGCTAACTAAAATACCTCAATATATAAATATTTGTGAGTATCTATGTCACGGAACTACAACACGTTATCCGGACAATATCCTGATAGTTTATACAACTCGAGTCTAAAATAACAAAGTCAAGTCAACGCGGCATGGACAATTCCCATGCTCACCAAATAAGGCAACAAAGCCCAATAAGTCACAAATCCAATAACATAACATGAAGCAAATAGCATAATAGCAATAGGCATAATCCAGCATCCAAGCATAATCATCATATAAACAGCAATATCAGCTAAGCTCTGGCTTCTTGCCGCTAGAGGTCTCAACCCCCTCATTACCTGAACCTGAAATGGTGCCCCAAACGTGGGGTGAGATCTCTAAACAGAAATCTCAGTAAGACAAGGGGTCCTTAAGGATCTTCCACCCCAAGCTCACTTACATGTGCAATATATGTTCTAAAAACAATTTAACAATATAAGTTCCAAAATCAATGCAGTGCAACAGATAATCATGCCATGTGTGTTGTAACTATTCTACTGGCCAGAGAAATGCAGGACGTACGTCTACAACCCTAAAATAAGTACAAGGAACACCGCTTGCACCTCACCCACAGCCTCACCGTCTTGTATGTCCCCACATATCCAGGCTTACCGTATAGGTGGAACACCACATGCATATCATAAAGCACTCGCACATAACAACTCAATAGCATTTTAACAAATCAATACATGAAAACAACATCATGCATATAAACCATCCCCCAATGGGAACCAACAATGGCTAAACCGAGAACACGAAAGCTTACCTCTAAGCAATCGAACCAATCCAAGGTCCACACCCGCTCAAAGTCCACACACAGCACAATCACAATCTGTTTGGACTAATAATCATATCAATAATCATACACTACAAGCATATGACATAAAGACAACGCATTTCCTTTACGTTTAATGTATTTAGGGTTCTCACGAAGCCAAGAGCCCTAATCACTTAGATTCTGACTTAGATTAATTATACAGAAGTCCACATCAACCAATAATGGGTCCTCAAACCCAAACTAGCCTTCTGTATGAACAGTACCATTACTGTTCCAAAAAACCCAGAATATCCGGATATATGTCGGGGTCATATCCGGATATCCATATCCAGATATCATATCCGGATATGCATATCTGGATATCCATATTCGGATATCTACAGACCCCATATCCGGATATCAATATCCGGATATCATATCCGGATATTTCGCGACAGAATGCAGTTCTGCATTTCGCGAGATATCCTTCCCAAAGGTTGCTCTTTTAGCGATTCCAGAAGCTTAAACATGCATTTCTAGGTGTGTTTAACCTTACCCAACCTTAGGTTATTAACTTTAGCTTATTACATGCATCAAGGCTTCATTTTTAACTAAAGAAACACATGGTCAAGGTTGGTGAAGCTTACCAACAGTTCAAAACAGAGAAAGGAATGCTCTTGGAGCTCTCTATGAAGCTCCCAAGTCTGACTTCCAAAAGTCCACGAAAATGGCACACTACAAGGGTTCTTTCTCACCAAAAATGGCTTCTTGAAGCTCAAGATGTCACCACAATGGTTCCTTCAACTCTTCCCCATGAAGACAGCCCTAAACCTCTCCAAACAGAGGCTCAACATCAGAATAATGTAGGGGTGTTCATCAACCGATCCAAACCGCAAAACCGAACCGAAAAATCGATAACCGAATAAACCGAAAACCGAAAAATCGAAAACCGAAAAAAACCACAAATTTTAATTGGATTAGATCAATTTTCGGATGGGTTGATGAAAACCAATCCAATCCAAACCAATCCAATATATTAATTATCTTCTACCTACTTGTCCTTTCTTCAATTATAGCCCAAAAATTTCTAAACTCAAGACTCATTAACTCATCAACTAAACCCAAGAAAAAACTTAGTCACGTCTCATCAACTATAGTATTGTTTACTGATATTCTTGTATTTCAAAAAAAATAATTTACAAAGCCAATATATACAAAAGATGTTATTTGCACAATAATCATGAAACTAATTTTAGGATATTCAAAAAACCGAAAATCGATCCAATCCAAACCGAAAAAAATTGGATTGGATTGGATCGAATTTGAAAAAAAATCTAAACCGAATGGATGATTACATGATCAAACCGAAGGGATTGGATCGGATGAGTTTTGCTTCCAAAATCGATCCAATCCAGACCGCGAACACCCCTAGAATAATGGTTGCCTCACACACTCACAAGCCACTCCACTAAGCGTTTACAATATTTAGAGGGAAGAAATCAAGCAAAAGGTGACAACTTGGTGGTTTTCCAAAGGGAGGAAGGCATGAACAGAGAGGAGGCTGGTCAGCAGCTCCAAGGACTCATGTAGGATTGCACAAATGACCTAGGATCATGTGTCACTTCGCTATTTATAGTCACTTAAGTTTTAATCGCACTCTATTAGCGCTAATAGCTACGCTTAGCATTTTAATCCCAAACTTTGGAATTTGAACCTACTCATTTTTATATGATTTTTCATATTTTTATTTTATTTTTCGCAGCACTTTTCCGGTACGCTCTTTTCCATAGCCAGTATCAGTTCTAGCACCAGTTCTCATTATTTCGACTTGAAACTTGTTTTACTAGTCATATATATTATTCTAGGAATATTCCCATACTCGTTATAATTTTTCGAAATACTTCATCTGTACGCATTTATACCGAGGAGCAGAACCAGTATCTGCACTTTTTGTCAGAAAAGAAACTTTCAACATTAATAATCACTTTCTGTAATTAATTAAGCCTTCTCATAATTATTAGGTTCAATTATGAAATTATTTCCTAATTTCACAGTGCGGGTTCTTACACATTCATGTAGAGCTATATGATAATATGATATATTTTGTTCTGATGTGATTTTTGTAATGATATTTGGCCATTGATTCTATGTGCACTGATGTCTGCTTGGGGTCCTCCCTTGGGACTGACGGTGTATACCTCTGATATGTGTGTAGTTTCGCTCGGGGTCCTCCCTTGGGAACACATGCGCTGATTTCCGCTTGGGGTCCTCCCTTGGAAATGATTGCGTACACCTCTGATAAGATATGTGTATATGTTATGTTCAGTTATGATATTTGTTTATATGATGTCTTGTATACTCTGTATCTGACTTTCATGCAGGATTGGGCTCAGGGTATAGAGAATTCTCTATAAACCTGGAGCTGATTGAGATTTCTTATCTCCCCCCGTTTGGGGATATCATTTCAGGTGTACAGATTCCCGGTAAGCCCTCACTGGTAGGGACACGACCCGTGGCTAGAGGTGCTGTGACGGACCGAATTTTGGGTAGCTATAGGCTACTGACATTTTGGAGGACATTTATATTGTTTTCATATTTCATTATTTTAGGGTCATGATGTCTGATCTGTTACTTGTATATGGCCTGTATATGTTTTGTACATGTCTTCATTCTTGATGCATGTACATTTTGCGTATTCAGGCATGCTTATATGATGATGTAGTATTCAGATATATGTATATGTTGACTTATGCATGTTGTTAGCCTTAGTGGCATGGAGCCAATTTTGCATGAGCCCATAGATGGGTATTTGATCCTTGATGAATATATGAGATTATGAAATTATGGATTATATGAATTGTTATCAGGGAACCTTGAGCAGGAGAGAAAATGTAGAGCTCCCGGCCCATTGGTCCCTCAGGAGAGAAAAAAGTAGAGAGAGAAAGAGGAGAGAGGAGAGAGAGAGGGAGAAGAAAAAGAAAAAAAAAGGACTAGGGAATAAAATTCCCTTGAGCAGGGGATTTCTAAATCCCGTTTTGTTCGGTTTACAGCAGATATGCTGTCCGATTTTAATCTTCGTCAAATGAAAAATAAATTAGAAGAAAGTTATGCATTGCTATATATCATGTGAAATGGATAAAAGAAAAAGAAAAAGAAAAAATTAACTCGTATTTTCGTAAATTAATATAAGTTTGTAAGTTAAGTCTTCCGCTAATCATGTTTAGTATCATGTGTGTTAACTGAATCGGCTCGAAACGGGAATGTCATAGAACTAGGTCTCTCATGGGTGGTTTGATGTGTGAAAATGTAATAGTTTCCATTGTGTATTACAGTAGAGAAAAGGATAGTGTTTTCAGTTGCAAAGCGTTGTGAATAATATATGCAAGAAAGTAAGAGTACAAAAGGTCGAAGGTCCTTCCCTTAGATGTGGTAAATCTAGGTGACTTGTAACATTCTAGAAGGTGTGAGCTATCAAAATGTGATTTTCCCAGGTGAGTGATTGTGTCACCCATGGGAGAAGAGTGGAGCATGGTTATTAGGAGAGACACATGAAAAATATTCTTTGACTTAAGGCATTTTATCTTGTAATGAAAGTGGAAAATAAGTTGTTTAAAGGATCCAAATTGCCGGTCCATAATAGGAGGGACTGAAAACACATGCATATTTCATTTATTACTCTTGTTCATTTTTCTCACTATATAGTTAGAAAACAAGTTATAGTTGTTTGGTATAAAAGCCACTTTGAAGCAGGACCTTGAGTTGAATGTCACGTCCATCAAGAGTTATCTTCATCGAGTATTAGGAACCATAGAAAGTTGTCCATTAAGTAATATGATTACTATGAAAATCTCAAAGGTAAAACTGTATCCTCACTATGGCAAACAGGAAGGTAGAAAAGAATTGATAAGCCACAACAATAGTGCCAAACGTAAATAAATATGCATGAGTAAATAGTAGAGTACCCTCACATGTTTTGCACATTTATCACGTTATCATTCACAACGCATCATTTAATGTGTTTTGACAACAATAAATGAATTTAATATTGGGTTCGCTTTTTCTGCAATAAGCTCGATACGACATCGTTTTGGGACAAAAATCATAGTGTTTTTATATAATTTTAATTTATTTTAAGATTATAATAGTCTTTATATTATAATTTTTTAAGATTTCAATACCAAAACGACGTCGTTTTAGGAATAAATACAGATAACTTGTTTGCATTAACTGCAGAAATATTTTTCTCTTTAATATTTCAGCTTTTTGCGACAGAAAATTTATCTCTACCACACTCACATGAAAGTGAGTAAATCTCATTATAATAAGAGAAAAAAATATCATAGGATGCACTCACTTTTCTACAGAAAAAACAAAAAATATTAAACCTATAATAAAATCAGTATTTCAAACGTTGATTGCATGGAAAAAACATGAGATGGAAAAAACTCAGATTCAGTATATTCCATTCCTTTACTCATCCAAGAACAAATATTCATATTTTACTCTTGTTCATTGCCAAAGGTAAATAAATATACATGAGTAATTTGAACATCTACTAGTACCCTCACATGTTTTGCACATTTATCACGTTATCATTCACAACACATCATTTAATGTGTTTTGACAATAATAAAATCAGTTTTTCAAACGTTGACTGCATGGAAAAAACATGAGATGGAAAAAAGTCAAGATTCAGTATATTCCATTGCTTTTCTCATCCAAGTACGAATATTCATATTTTACTCTTGTTCATTGCGTGAACCACTTTCAACTGATATTATACCAAAATCCCAGATAATCCTCTTCCTGTCATTAGAAAAAACAAGGTGCCTTTAACTTGACCTAATGGTGAATGTTGCAACTATCTTTGTCATTGAAAACAGGATGCTGGCATCACTCTAATGTTCATCATTCTCAGCTAACTGCATCTAAATCAACATCTGCATCTGTCTCTCCATCTATGATTCCAGCCTCAACTTCAGCATCTGCTTCCAATTGACCTGCTTCCTGGCCACCATCAGTGTCTGAGCTCTGCTTCTGAAGTTCATCAGGCGTTGGGGTTCCGCCTTGAGTACCAGGGACAGTGGCAGCATCGAATTCCATAGGTGTTTCTGTGGCGTCTGTTCTTATGACTTCACCATCGATCTCAGCAGCAGGTGTAACAATCTATTTCACAAGAAAAAATAATGAATACATGGAACTAAAGTGATTTCACGGAATGCATTTAACATTGGATTCATTATCACAAAGACAACTGAGAGGAATAGATAGAAATGGATTCAGATAACGGCTAATCTTACAAGCATCATTGCATAAGGTGGCATGGATAGCAATCTATTATTTGATTATTCAATTGACAGATATACTGCAGAAGAAATAGAACAGTACATAACTAACGAGGGCAGTAAATGATTTCAATCGCTGCATGCTATTTGTTAGATATCCATACAGAAAATCCGAAACAACAAAACTACATGGGCATTCTAGAACAGAATGATAAACCATGCGATCAGAAACACCGAGCTACAAAGCTCACATGACCATTCAGTAGGAAACTATCGTTTAAAGATGCTTTTTGTGTCTTTATAATCTTTCATCCTCACACCACTCTCCAATCCAAGTTTTCTATAGCGTTCAACATTCCATTGTTTTCAATGGAATTTTCACTTTTTCCGTAACTTTAATGATAAGAAATTTTCTATATTGGAGTTTCTTTTGGGTTTAGCAGTGGTGACAGATTGAGAAGAAGGGGTGAGGACATGGAAAAAGAGACTAGAGACCGGAGTGGAAACAAATTCCGGCAAAATAGTTTGTCACCGGTGGACAATGGGTCCATTGGGTAGGCATGGAATAGGGTTGCCTCTCATCAAACTCTCGATACCATGTTAACTCAAGAAGCAATAAGAGACTTCACTGAAATCTCTGTCTAAACAACACAATCGGGTCAGAATTATATAGCCAAAGAATAATAAATTAAAAAAATTACTGGTATCACTAGTATCCTAATTGCCATAATTATTTGATTCTGACTACACAATTTACACAATCAGCAAGATTCTACTTACATAGTCACTACAATGACTTACTGCAATTACCAATAATGTCCATGGTTGAGACAAAATTGACACTCTATGGAACTCTTTTAGACATCCCGATAGTCGTTTGCTAGAACAGCCTCACAGCCAAAACGACCAACACAACCAGGTCGAAATCCATCCAAAAGGTAAGGATGACCATGTTGCTATCCCATAATGATTGCTCCATAATTGCAAGTTGTCACACGGTTTTCTCCTATGGAATTGTTGTTAACGTTGATTCTCTCTAAGGAATAAATGTTTGAATTGTTTCCTTTTTCTGTTTTAATTGATTACCATTTCTGGACTTTGGTCAACTTAATTAATTCTCTATTTTTATTGTTTTCCTTAATTTTAGGGATCGATTTTCCTTAATTGTAGGAATTGTTGCTCAGAAGATTGATTCCGTATAAAATCTTTTGTTTATATATCTTTGTTCAATTGACATTATCAAAGAAAGAAGAAGAGTCATTCTTCACATATTCTAATTTTCTACATGGTATCAAAGCCCTCTTCGAGGGTCTGATTTAACTATGTCCCATTATGTGCTTCGATTTGAGCCATGCAAGGCATTCAAACCTCAACCCAAGACACCACGTCCTCCATAACCCAACCAGAGATACAGCCACAGCCAAACAGTGGACTCCAAGAACCTGCGACACAGCCTATTGCCAATGACAGCCTTGCGTTAATAATTACAGGACATAGATTCGACGGAGGCAATTACCTTCTATGGTCTCGCAGCGTAAAGATGTTCATCTGTGGACATGGCAGAAAAGACTTTCTTATAGGCATTGGGGATGCAGTGCAACCTGCTGTCACAGACCCAAGACACAAACGACAGTTGGCTGAGAACAACCTAGTCATGGTCGGGCTCATGAATTCCATGATCCCCGAAATAAGGGAAACTTATATGCTATCTTCCACGGAAAAAGAAATTTGGGATAGTGTTAGAGAGTCATTCTAAAAAGATAATCTCGATGCTTTGTTCTATATTAAAGGGATCTTGCAAGATCTCAAATTAGAAGACAAAGATGTGACTGGTTACTATAATACCTTTCTCAAATATTGTCTGAGATTGGATCTGTATGAGAATTATGAGTGGGCAAATTAGGTTGATGCTGCGCTTCACAAGAAGATCGTGGAGAAGGATCGAATCTATCAATTTCTTTTAGGGCTCAATCCCATCTTTGACTCAACAAGGAGCAGAATCATGGCCATGAAACCCTTACCAACAATGCGTGAGGTTTTCTCTGAACTCAAATGGAAAGAAAGCAAGCAACTTTTAATCAATAACTTCAAAAAATTGGATACTTCCCAAAGAAAACAATGCTTTTGTTGCAGGGAAATCATCCTCATTTGACAATAAGCCTTGACGAAAGGGGAGGCCTTGGTGTGAGCATTGCAACAAGCCAGGGCATACCAAAGACATACGTTGGAATATTCACAGCAAATCTGCCAATTGGAAACCATGCCAAGAGAGAGAACAACGTGGACTTATGGCCATTACAGAGGAGAATCACCTAGAGAGTTCAGGAGTTGGTATGTTTACGAAGGAGTAATTAGAAGTCATCCAAAAGATGATTAATGCTAAGGACATAAATCCAAGACCAACAACTCATCCAAGTACCTTACAACTTTGCAAACCAACACTGGAAATTCTAATACATGGATATTTGACTCTAGAGAAACTAATCAAATGACAGGTAATATCTCTAGTCATATCCCTCAAACACACCAAACAGGTTGGCAAAATAACAGATTGAAGTGAAGCTATGGTAAAAGGAATTGGAACAGTTAAATTATCAAATTTCCTAACTATGAATGAAGTTTTATTTGTCCCAAATTTGACATGTAATTTGATCACTATAACAAAGCTTACAAAAGACCTGAAATGTTAAGCACTATTTGACTCCAATAGTTGTGTATTTCAGGATTTGGTAATGGGGAAGAGGATTGGCCGGCATCCCAATTTTCAATATATGAAAAGAATACACCTAAATTTATTTAATGAATTTGAATTTGTGAGAGCCTCCTACCCTCCTCATGGATACAAACATTCTAAATCATTCTCTTTAATCCATAGTGATGTATGAGGACCAGCTAATACATAAATTATAAATGGTGCCAAATGGTTCATGACCTTTATTGATGATCATACAAGAATGACTTGGGTCTACCTCCTAAAGGCCAAATCAGAAGTTACATAAACATTGAAGAACTTACATATGTTCATCCAGAATCAATTTCAAGCTCGGATTCAGGTTCTAAGATCCAATAATTCTAAGGATTATTTATATCTTGACCTTACCACTTACCTCCAAATCACCATAATGACTGCTCCATAATTACTAGCTATGACTGCTCCATAATTGCAAGCTGACACACGGTTTTCTCCTAAGGAATAGCTGTCAACAGTGATTCTCTCTAAGGAATAAATGTTTAAATTGTTTCCTTTTTCTGCTTTAATTGATTTCCATTTCTGGTCTTTGGTCAATTAATTCTCAGTTTTTATTGTTTTCCTTATTTCAGGGATTGATGTTTATTTAATTTTAGGAACTGTTACTCAGAAGATTGATTTCGTGTAAAATTTTCTATCTATATATCTTTGTACAATTGACATTATCAAAGAGAGAGAAAGAGTCATTCCTCACATATTCTAATTTTCTATAGACCAAATTGAAGTTGCAGCAGAACCTGAGACAGAGAGAATGTACTCCAGCTTTAGAACCAATAGGAAAGGGCATTGATGTAGCTAGGGGTGATAAACGAATCAGGGGCCTTTGGCTCGACTCATGAAGGCCTGAGCTTATATGCTAAAATTGGTTGTTGGAACAAGACTTGGACTTGTATAAAAGCTTGTTTAATAAAAAGGCCTTAGGCTCTAATTCAAAAACTCGGCCTTAAAGCCTCCCAGGCTGGCCTGGTATATTATTTTTTATATTTTTTATACTACTTGTAATAGCTCTTTCTCTCTCCTCAATCCATTTCACCTCATTTTATTGGTTAAATAGACTTTTTGAATGATGTTTGGATATATATTGAATTTATGAATATTCATGGAATTACTAGTGCTGTTAATTGTATATTCTATTTGGATAAATTTTTGTTGTCTTATTTTTTTTTAAACAGACTAACAGGCTAAATCAGGCTTTTTTTTTTTTTTTTTGTAAATAAGTCAGGCCACATGCTGATAATTATATTCATAACAGGTAACAGGCTTCGTCAGGCTGACACATTTAAATACAAGCTTAGCCTTTTAATACCAAAGTTCGGTTCGGCTCGGCCCGTTAACACCCCTAGATGTAGCAAGAGGGGAATTGAGAGGCATAAGTGCTTGTGTGCTGTTAGAGAATAATATAAATCACTAAAAAAGCCCTCACTCAACAGCTTAAACTTTTTGGGTTGAATTGGTTCTTTATACGGTATCAGAGCCTCGATGTCGCGGGTTCGACCCTCGCACCCCCCACTCTCTCTTGTGAAATTTTCTTAGCATAGGTAGGTGGACCTATGCATTGTCCACCCTTCAAGTCCAGTGGACTTTCGTGTGAGAGGGCGTGTTAGAGAATAGTATAAACCATTAAAAAAGCTCTCACCCACCAGCTTAAGCTTTTGGGTTGAATTGGTTCTTTACATGTGCCTAGGATTGGCATAGGCTGCTTGTGTGACAAATTAACAGAGAGTGCATTCGAGACAGTGGAATGTTTCTAGTTCTTGACGCAAGCTTAATGAGAGATCATCTCACTCTATATACAAATCAAGGCTACTATTAATGTAGATGACAAATGATTCGTACTCCTAGGGGAAGTCCCTCCAAAATTACATCCAAATGTTCATGGGGAGAAACTTGATAGAAAAATGGGATCAGTCAATAACAGGTTTGATCCATAGAAGTTAACTCAATAAAAGACCGAGCGCCTTTCTTGATATTGCACAACTCAGATTGAAACTATTGCACCTTCGCCCGAATTTGAGAGTTGAAGAAGTTGTGAACCTCATCTCGCAGCTGCCAGGAATGTACACAGCTCAACCACCAAAGGAAGGACTAAGTCGGAAGGAGACAAAAGAAGCCACAAAAAGAGAAGCTGCTTATGCTAGTCCCACCAAAGGCACTCATCATTGTCGTGGCCACCAATAAGAAAACAGTAAGGAATCTCTGGATTGACCAAAAATATTTTACTTGCCGCTTCCATCCGATAAAAAATTTCTTGTCCAGACCAACAAAAGTTGCATGCGAAGAGGTCAACAAAGAAGGTCACAAAAGTTGCATGCGAGAACGAAATAGAGGTGTGTGGCGGCTCTGAATTTTGGAAAGGATTTGGTTATGAGGCCTTCACAGGACTGAATCAAGTTCTAGATACCATGTTAAATATGAATGTGGAGAGAAAACAAAGGAAACAGTGAGAAAGTGAAAGAAAACTTAGTCAGAGAAAAACTAGAGCTTGGCCTTGAAAACTGGAAAATAGTATTTTTGAAGTGAGGCATTGTTACATAGTATCAAGTATTTAGAGAGCCCTAGATTCAGTTATGCAGTTGGAGACAACTGTGTCAGCTGAATTCAGAGTTAGTTGGTAACTGAAAGTAGCTGTCAGTTAATTATTCTGTAACAATTAGTACAGCAAGCTTAAATAGCTACTTGTGCATTCTCTAACAGTGTGTGTTTCTTTTTCTTCTCTTTTTTCTCGCTTGGTTACAAGGGAGGTCCATAGAACCTGTTAAAAGATGAGCAAAGTGTGAGTATGGTGACACACTGAGGATCAAATCTGGAATTAGGTTCTTCCCGAGAAAGCTAGATATTACTACGCTACATGGCCATAGGCGTACTCTCTCACGTTCCGAATTTATTGAAGAAACTGCATTTCTGTGACATAAAAAAACCAACAGCTTAAAATATATTAATGCATTGAGATGTTAAAATTGAATTGTTAGTTCCAGTTTAAACATAATGGTTGAACTAGAAACACAAAACAAAACAGAAATTATAAATCTAGCCAACAATTTTGGGCTTCTGTGAGTAGGAAGAAACTAATGCATACAACCAGCAACAATTATAACCATTGAATTCTACACAATCCTCTATAAAAATTTATTTCTCCTGAGCTGATGTGATTAAAAAAATGGAAAGGTGGATCTGAATCAAGAAACCTGATTTTCCTCTACTTGATGAGCAGTGCCTTTTATTTCTTCCTTTTTAGCACGTTTACTTCTGTCATTTGGTTTAGCTTGGTATTTAGATCGGACATCAGGTGGCAAAAGTTCTAGAGGTACAACCCCTTCAATACCATGATCAGTAAACTGCAACCACAATAAATATAATTTTCATTGAACCAACATAAGTTAAGCAAACAATAAATTGCAGATTACAAAATTCATATTACCTTAGAAAATCCCTCCAAGTCCTGTCGTGCTGAAAGCCTAAGACCTTTCCAACAATAAACCTGAAATGAAAGGAAAGATAGATATATAAAATATATACTCTAAAGTTGAAGGCCAACTGTCATACACTAAAATTGAGCCCACAAAATTTGGAGGATTTTCTTTTGGTTACGTCTATAGGTTTTTGTTGGCAAATATCATCTATTTAGGAATGGTATTGTACAAAATTAGGATCTGATTTATATTATTTTCATTCATTCCCAAGTTTCCTTATTTTTGCAATTTCCTAATCTTAAAGATATATATTCCCAGTTTCCTAATATTAGATATTATAAATCATGTATAAATAGAAGGTACTACACAGGATTTCCCTAAGCAATTCAGAAATCTCTCTTTTACATGATATCAAGAGCTTGTTCGTGTCCTACGCAGAACCCAATCCAAAAAATCCTAAATAGTCCCTATCCTTCTTCCAGCAATTGTCTATGCTGCTCCCAACTCACCATAAAGCTCTGGATCAACCTAGAAACCGCCAACTGGCCACCATTCTGAGCGCCCCCATGCACGCTTCCTCAACCTGTGCGTGAAGTCCATGCGCCACCTTCCAGGTATCAATTCTTTGCACCGCCAATCTCATCTTGCTCGCCAACAGCTAGGGGTGTAAATACGTCAAGTGGCTTGTCAGGAGCCTATAGCCTGGTTTGCCAAGCCAGACCATTTTTAAAAATAGCAGAGGCTTGGATTCATTAAGAGGTCTCTTCACTAATCAAGCCACGAACCTATTTTGAAAGGCCTGGCCTCTAAGCCTCCAGACCCAACCTGTACTTTTCAATAAATAATATTTTATTATTTTTAATAAAATAATATCTTAAGATTTCCAGCTACATAGTTAAATTGTCAATATTTTGGATTGTGGTGTGGCTTCAACTATTGTATTGTTTTGACTTTCCATTAACTTAAACATACAAAAGAAACAAAGTAATCATAACTTATAATTTTCAGAGTGCTACATGTCATTTTTGAAGGCTTGGTAGCCTTTTAAAAACAAATCAGGCCAAGCCTATAATTAGACTTGTATTAGGCTAACAAGTCAAGCCAGACTTAAAATATTTTGAATAGGCTTAGCCCATTTAGGCTAAAGCCTGGCTTGGCTTGACTCATTTACGCCCCTACCAACAGTCCATGGTATTGTCTTGGTGATTAGAAGCTCAGATTTGGTCTGTCCTGGTAATTGGCTCCTACTCTCTGGGTACTCTTTATGCGCCTCTTTTTCTGCATGCTCATATCCAGCCATGCGCAACCTGTCGTCTAAATGTAGAGAGAATGGCAGCCCTACTATATTGTTAATTCTCTTCTTGTTCCTTTGCATTTTTCATTTTTTAAGTTTTTGATGATACCTTATTCTAACGTTCTTGTCCTTTCCTTCTTTTCTCTTAAATTTCTTTTTCCACACAAATCAAAATTAGAGGATTACCCGGTTATTCTTGTGGTGATATTCAGCTTCTATTCCGGCAGAAGGATCCATCTGTAAATTCAAAAATCCAAAAAAATTTGATGTTTAAGTAAACTTGGAGGGGGAAGGGGGGGGGGGGGGGGGGTCATTGTAAGCAATCCTGAAATATTAAACAACGGGGTGAGGGTACGATGAAAAAATAAAAATAAAAATAAAGAAAATCAACATATTGCAGCTCAATAAGGAAAGCTTACATCTTCAGCCAAAGGTTTCCAGTACTCCATAATCGAAGGTGTTTGAACACGCTGAGGATCAGTTAAAGCATTCTGGTAATTCAAAAAATCATGTGTAAATAGATAATTTAAAAAATAAGAAGATATATAATTCAATGACTTAATGACTAAAAACACAAGATTCACCATACTAGTTTTGATATTCAGACAGTAGAGATTAGAGAAACAAAAACTGTCTAAATTTATTCTGAACAAATATACCACTCCTTTATTATTTTCCTTGCATGGCCATATTGACTTAAATTTATCATAAAACAGAGGGAAGATCTATGGCTTTTTGACCCTTATAACCCTTTATTAATAATTAATTACCAAATTGACCTTCATTATAAACTATTTCAAAAATTTAACCTCCCCAAAAAACATAACACCAATCTGCCCCTGTTTGACCGTTCACCACCAATCTGCCCCTGTTTGACCGTTGACCACCAAGCCTACCCGGGTACACCCCGGGTATTTTTTGAAATTTTATGTCTACCCGGGTAGGGAGGGGTATACCCGGGTATTTTTCTTGACATCTAGAAAATTGCTTGAATTATTTACCCGGGTAGGGAGGGGTGTACCAGGGTAAATAAGTCTCGTCCCAATTAAAAAGTGTGACCCTTGCACTCCATCCTTTAGTATAGTCTGTATATAAATGCCAGTTTATGCTCACACCACAGTTATCGCTACAGGGCATCGGGCTTGGCACTGGTAGATGTTTCAGACTAGCCCAAGCAACAGCCTTGGCAGTTCGGTGGCGGTGAAAGTTGGGATCGATTAAGTGCTGGTGGCATTTTGAAGACATGCACTTGGAATCTTGAAGCTGACATGCTAGGGTCCATTGATGGTGGCAATATGATACCATTCCGGCAGCAAAACGGAATTTGCCCAAGGATTGAATCATTGAACTTAGTGGGAGGGAGATCAATTATGGTTGGCCTTCTTTCACAATTCAATACAGTAGAAAAGTCAAGCTCCTGATAGAATGTAGCTTGCTTACCAAAGAGAGATTCAGAAGAATCCACAACAGATGGATAAGCCCCTTTCATTGTGTATATAAACTCGTCATTCATCCAATCCCAGCTTAACCTCCAGTTATCAAGACGGCCAAGGGGGTTATGGTTTGCAATATTAACCTCTGCCCAGTAATTGGAATCATAAGTTCTGGTCGAGATTTACCCGGGTACACTCCTCTCTACTCGGGTAAATAATTCAAGCAATTTTTCAGATGTCAAGAAAAATACCCGGGTATACCCCTCCCTACCCGCGTAGGCATAAAATTTCAAAAAATACCCGGGTAGGGACGGGTGTACCCGGGTAGGCTTGGTGGTCAATGGTCAAACAGGGGCAGATTGGTGTTATGTTTTTTGGGGAGGTTAAATTTTTGAAATAGTTTATAATGAAGATCAATTTGGTAATTAATTATTAATAAAGGGTTATAAGGGTCAAAAAGCCGAAGATCTATGCACATTGTGAAAGGTTTTGTCTGCACAATTCAAAACCTCCGACCGGGGCACTAGGATGGTAAAGTACAGAATGTCATACCAATACCTACTCATACTCCTAATCCTATTGTCCAGCATCCACAATAGCCAACTTCTACAGAAGAAGGCCCTGCATCCACAACTTTTGTTAAGAATAACATACCGGATTTTGATCTGCCCACTTCCACAACTGAGACAATTCCTTGTTACCCAATCTCCATCTTGGCCTACTGAAAATAAAGAGAAAGAACAATGTAATCAAGAAAATCTGAGCATAATGAAATGAACTAGGATAACTAAGTAGCATAAGAGTAAAAAAAAGAAATATATAATGGCTTATGGTCAGACGTTAATTTTGTTCTCAAAACAAATAAAACACATCACATTGCCTATGGTTTTAGCTTAGTTGCATCCAATCTACTTGTAACTTCAATCCAGAAGTTGTCTTGTTTTTGCCTCGAAGTAACTACTTTTTTAAGTTGAATATATATTCCCTCAATGTTTCTAGACTTCAAATCTTTAAAAATGTACACTATCCTAAACACGTTATATAAGCAAATAATGACGTCGTCTCAAAACTGATTTCTCATTGTACCCTCCCCTCCACACCCGCCCAAAAAAAAGGTACTCAAAGAGGAAGAGCTCCACATATATAGAGACCTACTGAGAAGTTCTGTTCCACGTCAAACACTTATTTTAACAAGCTTTGAAGTTAACATTGATGGGTGTGTTTTATCCCAGACAAAAAGAAAGGGTCATAGACCTTTTTCAGTCAACTGACAACATTGAAAGAAAGCCATCAATTGTGGTAGCGTAAAGAAGAGAATATTAATTAATCCATAATTGTAACTGTTGAGATATATAAAATTATTAATATAACCTCATCTAACAGCTTAAGCTTTTGGGTTGAATTGGTTCTTTACATGGTATCAAAGCCTCGTGTCCCGGGTTCGATCCTCGCTGCCCCCCACTTTCTTTCAAGTGGAATTTCTTTGTTCGCACAGGTAGGTGGGCCTGTGCATTGTCCACCTTCAAGCCCAGTGAGCTCTCGTGTGAGGGGGCGTGTTGAGATATATAAAACCATTAATGTAACCTCATCCAACAGCTTAAGCTTTTGGGTTGAATTGGTTCTTTACATAGTATCAGAGCCTCGTGTCCCAGGTTCGATCCTCGCCGCCCCCCACTTTCTTTCAAGTGGAATTTTTTTGTTCGCACAGGTAGGTGGGTAAGTGGGCCTGTGCATTATCCACCCTTCAAGCCCAGTGGGCTCTCGTGTGAGGGGGCGTGTTGAGATATATAAAACCATTAATGTAACCTCATCCAATAGCTTAAGTTTTTGGGTTGAATTGGTTCTTTACAGTAACTTCCCCTATTCAAACGGATATATGATTGGCAGTACAACATCCATGTAAAAAGATGGTGTTGAATAATATCTTCTATTTTTGGAAATAGATCCCATAGTTCTAGGGATTATGTTTCTGTAATTAATTAACTTGATTTGATTAGATTTTTTTTTTTGTAGTTTCATTGTGTCCTTTTTCATTAGTGGTTGTAAGTCATATATATATATGAATTGGGGTTGAAGTAGTTTTCTCAAGTAATTCAAAAATATTCTTGCAATAGACAGTATTACAATTTAACAAATATTTGAATTCAGAAACGTAGACAGTATTACAATCTAAAACCATTATGACATGATAAACAATTTATTAGATAAACATACCGCTTCTTGACCCCATCTGGTACTGTTTTCTTCTCCATGGGTTGTTTTTCATACGGTAGGCAGCCATCACGTTTCCACCACACCTAAAAAGTACAGAATGGGATTATGTTAGCTAAATAGTATACATATTCTTGATGTTAATGATAAATTGCAACTACTTGTCTATGCGCAAGAGAGCACATGGAGGAAGAATTTAAGGATACTCACCCAATTCTTCTCTCGTTCCAATATATGCTCAATTTTGTGAAGAAACTCTCCCCCTTTGGGTGGAGTCAGTTGAAGAAGTTTTTTAACACGTTCTTCACATGATGTAATCTCTTCTTTCTGAATTGAATAAGGAAATATCCATTCCATGTGTTAGGTATAATATAAAAATATCATGAGAAGATAGAAATAATAAGTAGCCAATGGGAAAACACCGCATAAAATCTTAATTGACTTGCCAAATTTATTCTAAATTTCAGTATAAGAAGAATTGAATATGAAAATAACTCAGACATTCATCAAGAATAATCAAGTATATCTTGAAAAGTCATCAATAAAGTTAACAAAATACTTAAGAGCAGAAAGTGTGGAGACATGACTTGGACCCATATACCAGAATGAATAACAGAAAAACTCGATTCTTGAATTAACTACAAAATGAAGCCCCAACATGCTTTCCAAGTTGCCATGACTTACAATTAAAAGATTTTAATCTTACAAAACTTAGGAACCATTTGCAGAAGTTTTGACTAAACAAGATGACTGATGTTATTCAATCGCAGCACACACCATATGAAGGGTTAACTTGAGATAGTAAAGTCCATGTTATTCATGCCTTACGCCAATCATTTATCCTGTAGCACGATCTGGACGTCAAACGAATCAAAATTAAAGATTATTGTACAATTATGGGATCTCGTGAAAAGGACATCCAAGTATGGATAAGACTAATTTTAATGATATAATATTAACAAAGTGGATGAAATATGACTCATGTCTTGGGTGACAAAACAAGAAAAAGCAGGTGGAGAGTGAGAAGATAAAAGTGACCGATGACCAGCTACATGATCAAAGGCACCTGAATCAAGAAACCAAGGGGTTGAATTATTACTAGTGTGAGAAATACAAAAGGATCATCCATAAAAGCTACAGTGGTAGTAGAGGACTGGGACTATTTGGCTGCCTTCAACTGAAGATACTTTTGGAATGCTATCTCTAAAAGAGTAAAAGGTGGTTTACCCCAGAGGACTTTGAATCTCTATTCTTCTTAATTTGCCAAGTTAAGTGGCGTTGAGAATTTTCTCAGGAACCCCATGAAGGGAATAACAAGTTTCTTGAGTGTGGCCGGATCATTATTTACAATAAGTCAATAACAACATTGGAGATGGCCTTTGCAGGCACCCGTGTTGCTTCTATCTACATGAGATCTTGAGGTAGTTACCAAAGTCGATGTGTCAAAGGTGTTACAGTGGGAGTTTAGGGCTCTAGATGTAGGAACTCTTAAGAGATGAGTATTATGACTCCATGGTGGCAACCTCTTGACTAGTCAGAATATGGTCTTCGACATGTTCAAAGTCAGAGTGCAGGTCACGTAAAACTAGTACCGCATACAAATTTTCCAATTTGTTTAATAAACCCTAAATACTGTCAGCATGTAAATACATTTTTGACTCCTCTATTAAAGCCTGCACTTAAGTGATAAAACTAATCATGTCATGATTTGGTTATCAAAGGGAGGTTAATTTCTAGACTGAACAATATAGGCACTAAATGTCATTAGCAAATACATTGCGAGCCTAGTTCCAAAATGTGAATGTTTGTTATAAAATTGACTAAAATAATGAGTTCCACAGACTGCCATAACGGAGTACACAACTAATGATCGAACTTCCCCAATTGACTTCCCAAGATGATCAGAGAGACCTTCCCCAATGGTGACTGAGCTAGCTAGATAATTCTTACCATTCAACTACTGTGAGGTTATTTTACGAGTACTAAAGAAGGTATAAGTAACAGATACATTACAAAACAAGTTTGTCACCTGGATGAATGAAGATCTTCAAAATTAAAAGAACTACTTGGACTTGAGACCATAGCTACTCAAAGGGATAACTAATACAAGGCCATCACTGATGACTAGTGGTGGGTGGCTTGACACGAGCAAGCAGTGACAGGGGCGCATGAACAATACTAAAAGGTGGATACTATAAAGAACCAATTCAACCCAAAAGCTTAAGCTGTTATATGAGGTTACATTAATGGTTTTATATATCTCAACACGCCCCCTCACACGAGAGCCCACTGGGCTTGAAGGGTGGACAATGCACAGGCCCACCTACCTGTGCGAAGAAAGAAATTCCACTAGAAAGAAAGTGGGGAGCGGTGAGGATCGAACCCGTTACACCGAAGCTCTGATACTATATAAAGAACCAATTCAACCCAAAAGCTTAAGCTATTGGGTAAGGCTACATTAATAGTTTTATATATCTCAACAGATACCAATGACCCACAACTATGACAGGTCAAAATCGGATTTCTGACTAGGATTTGAACCTGCTTTGACACCATGTACAAAAGGGAATTGTGAAATACTTGAGGAAATTCTCATATGAACCTTCTACTTACGCATGATATACAATCTATAATAGGTATACTTTCCAACAAAATTACAGGGATTTAGGTTGACAAAGAAGAAAAGAGAGAATAAAAACTGAATAATCTGAAATTAATATTGATTTGATGTGTTATGCTGTGATACAAACTACAAAGCACCAATTCTAATTTACACTAATATTAGATTTCAAATACTAATTACATGAGGAAAAAATAATGAAATATAAAGAAATAAGGAAACTATTCTAAAAAGATCATCTATGATACTTTGAAAAATTCTAAAATTCAATTAACATATGAGATATTTTGCATAAATTCCAACATTTTCCCCCTCAAGCTAAAGCTTACTGTTAGAAATATAATATAAAATCATTCATATGTCTTCGACTAATAGTTTAACCTTTTGGAATAGATGGTAATACAGATTGAACCCAACGGGTCAACTCACCAACCCAGAGTCCACTTTTCAACACGTACACCCAAAAAAAATTGAAATTAAGGCTAGTGTGCACTTGAACACCCGATTCTGGTATTAATATAATCACAACCATGACTCATCAATGAGATAGAAGAAATCACCATTGATATGATTCACAATGGGAGGCTACTATGAATGATAGCCAATTCATCACTATCTGATTCATTGGCAAGAAAACAAGTAACTGGAAAAGTAATTAGTCAATCAGATGAGGTTGCAAGAAGCACCAGGAATAGGTCAATATGGAGGAGCAGGGGTTTCGATGGTGTGGTCGTCGACAGGAAAGATTTGCAAAAAATCATAGCATAGTGGCAGATGACAAATAAGAGGCAGCTGAAAAGACAAAACGACAATGGGGCGAATTGATTTAAGGATTCTGGAAAAGGAGGAAGCAAGAAAAGCCCACAAAGAGAGAAACAACACTGATAGTAGCAAGGTGGAGAGATAGAGAAACAATGTTAGAAGGAAAACATGACAATAGACACAACTATGTTAGAGATATAATATATAAAATCATTAATACGACCTTTATTCAACAAATTAAACTTTTGCGTTGAATTGATTCATAACATGGTATTAGAGCCTCTGCGACTAAATGGTCACAAATTCGATCCTTGCTGTCCTCACTCTATTAATAAATAATCATATATTGTGGAATTTCTTAGCACAAGTAGGTGGTGGGTCTGTGCATTGTCCAATCTTTAAACCCAATGGGCTATTGTGTGAGAGGTTTTGATGGGAGATATAATATACAAACCCATTAATATGACTTTCACTCAACCGCTTAAGCTTTTGGGTTGAAATGATTCTTTACAGACTATTCAAGGATATTTGTTTCTCTTAAGTAAATTCAGCTTAATATTTTTCTCTTTTCTTGATTGCTGTTTGTGTCCTTTAGTAGCAGTAAGATTCCTATGCTCCTGTATTTTACTCTCTTCTTTCTTAGTGAATTATTCTTTATCAAAAAGAAAAAAGAATAACGACGAAATGTATTGCCGGTAGGATTCCATTAAGCAAGGAACACACATTCAATTATAAAAGAAAGAAATAAATCTAGACATAACCTGCTCTATAGGTGTAGTTTAAGAGAAACAATACACATCATTTCAAGTACGTCAATAATAATAATAGCAGATACTGAGCTCTAATTAAGACGTGTAAAGGGGCTTTGATAGTCAAAAGTGTAAATATAAGCCTGAAGCCAGTTTAGTATATGCTGTTTAACCTAAAGAGTTCAGGGAAGGCAGCAGCACTAACCATGTTTTCAGATGGCAAATCCTTGTCACCTTTTCCAGGGGCCTAAGAACAAATGAAGGAGAAACCATCAGCTAATACAGATTACATACTAAATACATCAGATAGAAATTAATCTTCAAAATATTATTACCTTCAAATAATCAAACAATATGAGACACTGCACAAGAACATGACGTCGAAAACTAGGATCCTTTAACTATTAGGAATTCCACCAAAACAAGAAACAAAAACAAGAGTGGATCTTGAGTCAGGACATGAACATTTACTGACAGAAAATTGAACATGCATTTTTAGTAGTAAGCATCAAGACTTTGTCAAACTGCTTACCTCTAGACCCATTAGTTTACTGCTTGTCAGATATTTTATACTAAAATTAACTGCCTCTTCCTCCAAATTATTTGCATCTCCCTCTTCATCACTTAAAGGTTGCGCTTCAAATGTATGCAGTACAACCTTTTATCCAACAAAAATTCTGAAGTAAAAAGCCAAGAAAAGAAGCAATTTGATAACTGAGAAAAAAATGCATGCACATAAACAGACAAGCAACTACGAATAAAGGATTACCGACAAGCTGGAGGTGAATTTCTGCCACTTTACCGGAGCATTATTTATAGAAGTAGGGTTAGAAAAATATTCCTGCATAAAGAAAAAAGATAAAAGATACTTGTTTTAAGTTTTTTTTCTATTATAATTTATTGTTGCAATTATAGGGAATTAGGTAGATATGGACAAATAGAGATAATAGAGATTTTGAATCTCGTACGTTATATGATATGTTACAAAAGACAAAGCACTACTCCTTATTTATACTAATACTAGACTCTTGATCTTAATCCTAATTAAATAAAGAAACATATCAGAAAATATTAAAAAAAAAAAAAACTATTCCTAAGAGATCATCTAAGATACTCTACACTACTCTAAGAAATACTAATGATGTTATACTATATCCTCCATATATAACACTCCCTCAATTAAGCTTTAGCTTGTTACATCAAACATGCTAGAAGAAAATAAACTAAAAATATAATCCAATGATAGAAGACGGAGCCAGACTGCAGTTGTGACTAGAGACGGAGGCCAGACTGTGGCAAGATAGGAAGGAACAAAGAAAGTCAGGCTAAAACAAAACCGATTCAAAGAAACACAGGCTAAAATGAAGCCAATGTGCAGAAAGACAGGCTAAAATGTGGAAACTATTCTAAGATAATCATGATTGTTGAAATTATAGGGATTAAGGTAGGAAAGGAAGAAAAGAGAGAATAAAGAATAAATAATATGAAATTTTGAAGGATTTGATGTGCTACGATATGATAAAAACTACTAAGCACTAATCCCTCTTTATAGTAATATTACTCCATGTCCTAAATTAACTAAGGAAATAAATTATGAAATATAAAGAAATAAGAAAACTATTCCTAAGAGATCATATAAGATACTATAAGCTATTCTAAGACACAATCAAGATAATATAAGATATTTTTCATACATTCTAGCATTCCCCTTCTAGTTGAAGCTTAAAAGCTTAAGCTTATTACAAACGAACCCTTTAAAAAGGAAAAACAATCAAATAATATAATCTGGGCTCCACAAAGCATAGCTTGAAAGGCAACTTAAGGATGTTGGAGATGTCAAATAGATGGGCATTGCTCGAAAGGCAACTGACAAAGATGGTTGGAATGATCATCAGCGTAAAGAGTTGGTTGAAATATTGCATGACGAAGGAAAAGAAGACATTTCTAAAATGATCATCAGCAAAAGTGTATTGGCAAGCAATTATACATTGCAAGAACTAAAACTTCGCCTCCAAGTTCATCAAGAACAATATTTCTAAAATGATCATCGTTTTGATAAGAGCTTTGTTCCAACACTCTCACCTCCAACAGGAAATACATCCAATGCAACAGGTCAATTCTTTGAAGCTCCACAACAGCAACGCCAACACTTTAGACACTACCAGCCCCAACAAAATCAGCAACGACCATATCAATACGTTTGTCAGCCAATTGAGACACCTACTCCTCAAGCAATGGTTGCTGCACAACAACCTGCTCTTCTTCCCACTCCTACCACACAACCTGCATTGGAATGGTACCCTGATTCTGGAGCAAGTCATCATGTTACAGCTAACCCAATGAACCTGTTACAGAGTCAATAGCTACCAGGAGCAGACCAAGTCCTCATTGGAAATGATCAAGGTCTGCCTATTTGTGCTATTGGTCACTCAAAATTTTTGTCACCTATAGACACAACAACTGAGTTATCTCTCAAAAATCCTTAAGCTCTATAAATAGAGCTCTCTTGTATTCTTTCGTTAAATATTCATTACACAATAACAGAACGAGTTTCTCTTCCTCTCTCTCTTCAAACTTTGATAAGCTTTTGCCAGACTTACGTGACACTAACAAACTGTGGGCCTATGAATTGTGGGCTCTTGCATGAAAAGGCATGTTAGATATAAAACTATTCATAATCATTCAATTAACAGCTTCAGCTTTTGAGACAGAACATGACCGTATCAATTTAAACTAAAAATCACTAAAAGACAAGCATCAAAATATGACCCAAACTGATTGGCATTTGAATTGAAGGACCTCCCCTTACTGATTATCATGAAGCAAGTCATACTTGCAGTTCCCGATTTGATTATTTAGTAAAAAGAAAGTCGTAAAACAGAAATTATATTGCGAAGTGTTAGAAATAATATAATATTAAATAGCATTGTATTATTTATTATTCTGTTATTCTAGCAGGTTATTTGGACTTGTCCCATTAGGTCATTTAACCTCTTTAAATAGAGTTCTTTTGTACAGGTTTTTTGTTCTCTCACAGAGTCTCCTAAGCTAATTCATAGTCGTCTAAGTCATCCAAGCCTCTCCAAGCTTCAGCATATGGTTCCTTTTTTATCCAGTCTTAAGTCTTTAAACTGTCAGTCTTGTCAACAAGGAAAGTACACTCGCTCCTCCTTTGCTAATAGAGTCAATAAAAGAGCTGATGCTCCCTTTTCTATTGTTCATTCTGATATTTGGGGTCCGAGTCGAACAATGTCTGTTTTGGGTTTTCAATATTTTGTAACCTTTATTAATGATTTCTCTTATTGTACTTGGGTTTATTTAATGAAAAATCGTTCTGAATTATTTTCAATTTATCAAAAAAATTGTGCTGAAATAAATACTCAATTTGGTGCTTCTATTCAAATCTTGCGTAGTGATGATGCAAAAGAATATGTGTCTCTTGAATTTTCTAATTTTTTGGAGCAACGTGGGACGTTACACCAGGTTTTGTTGCTCAGGGGGAGAATTCTAGAATGGTATGTAAGCTTCGTAAATTTTTATATGGCCTGAAGCAGTCCCCTCGGGCTTGGTTTAGTCGCTTTAGTTCTGCTGTTCAATCCTTTGGCTTAATCAGAAGTAAAGCCAATCATTTTGTCTTCTATAGGCATAGCTCTTCTGGCCAGTGCATCTATCTTCTGGTCTATGTTGATGACATCATTATTACTGACAGCGATCAAGTTGGGATTGATCAGTTAAAGAAGTACTGATTCAATCAGTTTCAGACCAAAGATCTTGGCAGACTTCGATATTTCTTAGGGATCTAAGTGGCGCAGTCTAGGCAGTACATCTCCATTTGTCAGAGGAAGTATGCACTGGATATCCTAGATGAGACTGGTATGTTGGGATGTAAACTTATTGATACACCTATGGATCCTAATGTTAAGTTGTTACCCGGACAGGGGGAGCCATTGGCAGACCCTCGTCGTTATCGCCGATTAGTTGGAAAGTTGAACTATCTTACTGTGACAAGACCAGACATCTCTTTTGCAGTTAGTGTGGCAAATCAATTCCTAGACTCTCCTTGTGACTCCCATTGGGATGCAGTTATCAAGATTCTTCGATATATCAAAAGAGCACCAGGAAGAGGTTTATTATACACAAATAAAGAGAATGCAAAGGTATTCAGCTATTCAGATGCTGACTGGGCAGGTTCTCATTCAGACATACGATCCACCTCCGTTGTATTGTGTTATCCTTGGATGAAACTTGATCTCTTGGAAGAGCAAGAAGCAAACTATGGTCGCAATGTCAAGTGCAGAGGCAGAATATTGGGCAATGGGAAATGCAACTTGTGAGCTCATTTGGCTAAAACAATTGCTTAAGGAACTACATTTCTGTGAACAGCAGCCTATGAAGCTCATTTGTGACAATCAAGCAGCATTGCATATATCCTCTAACCCAGTCTTTCATGAGAGGACCAAACATATAGAAATTGACTGTCACTTTGTTAGAGAGAAGATTCAGTCAGGAGAGATCAAAACAGCATTTGTCAATTCCAGTGATCAACTTGCAGATGTTTTCACCAAAGCTCTTAGAGGTCCCCGAATAGATCATATATGTAACAAGCTGGGAGCTTATGATATATACGTACCAGCTTGAGAGGAGTGTTAGAAATAATATAATATTAAATAGAATTTTTTATTTATTATTCTGTTATTCTAGCAGGTTATTTGGACTTGGCCCATTAGGTCATTTAACCTCTTTAAATAGAGGTCTTTTGTACAGTCCTATACACAATTGAATACAATACATTCTAATTCAAAGCAAGTGGAAAAAAAGTGTCAAATAGCAAAACAAGTCTCAACTTCAGAGAATGGTAGAGACCTCTCTTTCAAGAACTAAATTTTCAGTGAAGACCTACCTGTAAGCCCCAAAAAGTCTCATAAAAATTGAAATCAATACATATGCCTGGAAAGTAAGGAGAAACTATTAGCTGGAATCAAAAAAAAATATTCTTAAATAAGTACTTTTATTAATAAGAACGGATTAAAAATGTCGATAAGTAAGCTAAGATAATATTCATGACTGTACCTTCCAAGGGTTCTTTCTCATATTTTGTTTCATTTGACGTGTTAAAAACTCCTTTAATATTTAAGGCTGCAAAAGTTTATGAAAAACATCAAAGTGATAAGGTACTCGAGAAAAGGGACCAAACAAAATGTGAAGATAGGCTTCCCACAATTATACCTGATCGCTCTGATAGTGGAAAGAAATGAGCCAGAAACATGAGAATTCTTCCACAAAAGACCACATCATTTGCCTATAACATCAAAACCAACAAACTGAATGATGGCTATCATGAGAAGAATACCCAATTGCAGGGATTTATTAATATAGAAATATGGATCCTGCAGAATCCTAACTAAAATAATACTCATTCAATACCGTAAAGCTCAACAAATGTGCAGTTTATCATATAACTACATTACTACTGAACAGGGATCAGTCCTACCCACGCCAAAAGGATGTGCGAAGCACCCACAACAACCCCAAAAAATAAATAAATAAATAAGTAAATAAAAAAAACTAGGGAAACAGCCTCTCCTCAACAGGAGAAAAGGCTATATACAGATGACCTCTCCAAACCCTGAAATGGAGTAAGCCTCAGCCTGCAAGTGGTTAGTTATGCTCGATTTCAAAAAAATTCAGTGGTTAACGAGTACAACTGATTTAATAAATGACTTGAGTGGTTAATATTTCTAAAATAGAAATATCCTTTGTTTGCAAGGATTTAAATTGCAGATAGCATCACGTGATTGTGGTAGCCGCTGTAAAGCACCCCATGATCATATCGGCCCATGTTGGTCCGCATCTACCCGCAATACAATCATGACCAGAACGCAACCGCAACAGCAACTTCTAGCCTTGTTTGTTTATAAGAATGTGTAGAAAATCAGAATCCAAACATGTTTCCGTTTTTATTTCCTATTAATTAGGATTGATTATGATTGATTAGGATTGATTGTGATTGATTAGAATTGATTGTGATTAGGATTGATTAGTCATCGCTTAGTCATCGCTTAGTCATTCTTAGCGATTTTTTCTTGTATAAATACTCACTCGTGTAAATTATTCAAAATCAATATACAGAAACTTCTTTTCAATATGGTATCAGAGCGGGTTCGTTCCTACCCTAATTCAAATCTGAAATAACCATCCAAACACTTCCATCACCGTCAAACACCTCCTTGAATCTGTCCAACACAGAAACCTAGTCTACTGACCTCCGATCAAGAAAGTGAGGTGACCATTCGACTCAGAAGGATCCGACGAGTCGACCGCCGCTGGACCCATCGCCGTCAACCGCCGCACGCGCCGCCACGAGCCGTCACACGTGCGGCCAGTTTCCGGCGCGTGAGCTCCACGCGCCGCCTTCCCAACGTCTTTTTTCGCCGCGACTTGCACAGACCTTCTCGCCGGCTTCTCCCCTTCCTGTTCCAGAGGTCAGATCAAAAATTTACAAAACTTGATTTTTCATCAACGGTCAACCCTTCTCTTTCTATTCATGGCTTCCTCAAAACACTCTTCCTCTTACTCTGATGGTGTCTTTCTTAGCAAGACTAAGTTTGAACAACTTCAGAGACTTTTGACTCAACCTCCTAAGGCCACTAGTCATGTGGTCCAGCAAGGTACAACTTTCCATGTTGATAGTCAAAATCATTGGATCCTTGATTCTGGAGCCTCTGATCATATGACAGGTAATCTTGGCTTGTTTTGTTCATACACTCCATATTCTGAACCTTCTCGGGTCAAGATCGCCGATGGCAGTTTTTCCCAGATTACGGGACACGGAACCATTAAACTTTCTGAGCTGATTACTTTGACATCAGTTCTTTATGTTCCTTCTCTGACTTGTAATCTCATTTCTATTAGCAAGCTCACCTCTGAGTTGCATTGCTTTGCTAAATTCTTTCCACATGGTTGTGTTTTTCAGGAACAGGACTCGGAGAGGATGATTGGCAGTGCTAGAGAGGATGGTGGACTTTACTACTTTGAAGAGGATGTGACTCATGAAGCTGTTTTCGTAGAAAAAAACTCTATGTTTCCTTTTGATTCATGTAATGATGTTATGATGTGGCATCGTAGGCTAGGCCATCCAAATTTTATTTATCTTCAGAAGTTGTTGCCAAACTTATTTATTCATAAAAGTCCAAGTTTGTTTTCTTGTGATATTTGTCAACTTGCCAAGCATACTCGTGCTCATTATCCTTCTAAAGTTCACCATGACTCTTCCCCATTTTCCTTAATTCATAGTGACATATGGGGTCCAGCCCGTGTTAAAAATATTTCAGGTACTCGATGGTTCATTACCTTCATTGATGACCATTCTCGAGTCTGTTGGGTGTATCTTCTAAAGGATAAGTCCGATGCTGCATCCGTGTTTAAAAAATTTCATGCCATGGTTCAAACCCAATTCCAAGTTGCTATACAAATTCTTCGTACAGATAATGGCAAAGAGTATTTTAACTCTATTCTTGGAGAATATCTTTCCCAACAAGGCATCCTTCACCAAAGCTCGTGTCCTGACACACCCCAACAAAACGGAGTTGCGGAAAGAAAAAACCGACATCTCCTTGAAGTTGCTCGGGCTCTTATGTTTACCACGAGTGTTCCTAAATATCTTTGGGGAGAGGCAGTTCTCACTGCCTCGTATCTGATAAATCGAATGCCATCTCGCATTCTGAAATTTCAGTCTCCTCTTTCTAGTCTTGTTCGTATCTTCCCTTCCTTCCGAGGTGTCTCCTCCTTACCTCTCAAGTTATTTGGTTGCGTTGCATTTGTCCATATTCCCTCCCATCAACAGTCTAAGCTTGATCCTAAGTCTCTCCAGTGTGTCTTTATTGGTTATTCTCCTACTCAACGTGGCTATAAATGTTATTCACCCTCTCTTCGTAAGGTCTTTGTCTCTATGGATGTCACTTTTTCTGAAAATGACCATTTCTTCCCCTCGACTTCTCTTCAGGGGGAGATAGGAGTAGATGAAGATCAGTCATGGGAACCTACTGATGCCACGGTATTACCTCTAATTTTGGAAACAGGGGGAGCTACAGAATCCTCACCATCAGGAGCCTCCTCAAAATGGGGACAAGTTTATAGCAGGCGAAAGCCTCCTCAAAGTGTGAATAACCCAGAGCCTCTACACTGCCAGGATTCTAAACCATGTTCTAGTTCCAGCACCCCAATACTTGAGTGTCATGGTGAAAATGATCTACACTTGCCCATTGCTCTCAGAAAAGGTACTCGATCTTGTACTACTCATCCTATTTCTAATCATATTTCATATGGAAAGTTGTCCCCAGGGTTTCGTGCTTTCAATACTATGTTGGATAGTACAAAGATACCGAGAAATATACATGAGGCTCTCAATGATCAAAAATGGAGGGATGCTGTCTTTGAAGAAATGAATGCTTTAAAAAGAAATGGAACTTGGGAGATAGTGACCCTACCCAAAGGAAAACAGGCAGTAGGATGCAAATGGGTGTTTACAATAAAATTCAATGCAGATAATAGCATCAACAGATACAAGGCAAGATTGGTTGCAAAGGGTTTCACTCAGACTCATGGGATAGATTATCATGAGACTTTTGCTCCGGTTGCTAAAGTCAATACCATCCGAGTTCTCTTATCTCTTGCTGCCAATCTAGATTGGCCTCTGCAACAGTTAGATGTGAAGAATGCATTCCTAAATGGTGACTTACATGAAGAAGTCTATATGGATCCTCCACCTGGTTTTGAAAAGGGAAATGGATCAGTGTGTAAACTAAAAAAGTCTCTATATGGATTGAAACAGTCTCCCAGAGAATGGTTCGACAAATTCACACAAGCAGTCAAAAGAAGAGGCTTCATTCAAGCACAGACTGATCATACTCTCTTCCACAAACACTCTAAGGATGGTAAAAGTGCTATTCTTATTGTATACGTAGATGATATAATTCTTACAGGTGATGATATTGAGGAATTGAACACCTTGAAGAAATTTCTAGCAGCTCAATTTGAACTCAAAGACCTTGGCACTCTCAAATATTTCCTTGGTATGGAAGTTGCTAGGAGCAAAACAGGCATCACTCTAACACAAAAAAAATATGTTCTAGATCTTTTGTTGGAAACAGGAATGTTAGGGTGTAAACCTGCTGAGACACCTGTGGAACCTAATACCAAGTTAGGTATTGAAGATGGGAATGAGGTGGATAAAGAACAATATCAGCGATTGGTTGGTAAACTAATCTACTTATCTCATACGCGTCCTGACATTGCCTTTGCGGTGAGTATGATTAGTCAATTCATGCACTCACCCAAGGAGAAGCATCTTAGTGCAGTCTATAGGGTGCTTAGATACCTCAAGAATACTCCAGGAAGAGGATTATTCTTTAAAAAGGGGTATAAAAGGACAATTGAAATCTACACTGATGCAGATTGGGCAGGCTCATCAGTAGACAGGAGATCTACCTCAGGCTATTGCACCTATGTGTGGGGAAATCTTGTTACTTGGAGAAGCAAAAAGCAAACAGTGGTTGCAAGAAGTAGTGCTGAAGCAGAATTTCGAGCTTTATCTCATGGAGTTTGTGAAGGAATCTGGTTGAGAAGACTTCTTCAAGAGTTGAAGATTTCATATTCCCTACCAATAAAACTATATTGTGACAACAAGGCAGCTGTTAGCATTGCTCAAAATCCTGTGCATCATGATCGAACAAAGCACGTGGAAGTTGATCGTCACTTCATCAAAGAAAAATTAGATGATGGAAGTGTGCGTTTGATATATGTTCCAACCAAAGAGCAAACGGCAGATATCCTTACCAAGGGCCTACACCGTCCAGCATTCGAAGACTTGATTGGCAAGTTGGGAATGATCAATATTTACCTCCCAACTTGAGGGGGAGTGTAGAAAATCAGAATCCAAACATGTTTCCGTTTTTATTTCCTATTAATTAGGATTGATTATGATTGATTAGGATTGATTGTGATTGATTAGAATTGATTGTGATTAGGATTGATTAGTCATCGCTTAGTCATCGCTTAGTCATTCTTAGCGATTTTTTCTTGTATAAATACTCACTCATGTAAATTATTCAAAATCAATATACAGAAACTTCTTTTCAATAGAATGTCTAATATAACTTATAAAAAAAGCAAATGATAAAATAGTGTCAAATAAATAACCTCTAGACATTCCATCTGAACTTTTATATGCTAAAGAGAGTGTCAATCAAAAGTTAAACTCATTTTGTAATTGTTAAGCATGTGAGTAAATAATGTATGTGGAGGAAGGATAGGAGCAACACATCCTGTGAATTCCTTAGTAATTGACCATAAAATCAATCTCCTATCCTCTATTAGCTTTTGGATTTTGATTGTTTTTGTTGAAACTATAAGGTTTTGGTAGAAAAGGTTGAAAACAGAGAAAAAAATAATACTTGAGACTGACCATTGAGTATTGTAATGTGACACAAGATACTAACCAAGTAGTGCAAATCCTAGGCTCTTAATTCTAATTAAATAAGGAAACAAATAAATTACAAAGGTAAAATAAAATCTCTAGAATAAGACAAGGTTCCTAACAGAATAAGATTCCCAAAAGTAAGACAACACAATTATTACAGAAACAACATAAACTATCCTAATCTATTATGCGTCATTCTTTTCCTCTAAATGTTTTGTAGATATTCTAACACTCCTCAAGCTAAATCTTACTAAGCTTTAAAGCTTGCTACGCATTAACACTTTAAAAGAAAATTAATCAAAAAAATATAAAGTGGGATCCATAAAACATGGATGGAAAAACAACTCAAGGATACTTGAAATGTCAAAAAGATGTTGCTGGAAAGATAACTTAGCAGAATGGCTGGAATGATCATTATCCTAATGAAAATTTCTTGGCAAGAAATCAAGCACACCAAGGCCCAAACTTCTCCAAAATAACATTTGGGAGATTCAAAATGCAGATTAATGCTGGAGAACCAAAAACCTCGAAATAGAACCTAAGGCTGGTGTGTGTTGCAGCCATGGAGAAGAATTAACATAACTCATCAATGAGACACGAAAAACCACCATCAATATGATTCTAATTAAATGATTGTCGTCGGCAAGAAGAGATACAGCTTTGGATTACCAAACTAATCTAAATGCAGCAAATAGAAGCAGTGACCAACTTTAAAGGCTTAAAGACTAAGTTAAAAGCAAACTTTTTTTTTACTAGAACATAACTCGTGTTCAAAGTACCTTTGACAGCCGGCGAAGAAGCTGATTGCAGGTTCTCAGCATTACAAGTTTTCCTCTGGCAAAAAGTTCTTGCTATATGTCATGCAAAACATAAAAGTTCCAAGCAAATACAGGTCATGATAAGGTACTTATGCAGTAAATAATCAAGTAGACACGCAGAAAGGCTAGAAACAACTGAGAAATATACCTTTCCCAATATATCTTGTTTGCTCTCTATATAACCAAAAATATCCTTGCAGTTTTTCATTGTAGACATTTCAGTCAAGTCTTCCAACAGCTGAAAAATCATACCACCTTCAATGTGTTCTTTTTCACAAAGATATAGCACTATATCTGAAAAGTGAAAACCACATACAAACACAAACATGAGTAGGAGGGAAGCATAGACAACTTTACAATTAAGATGTAACTACAACACATTAAAGCATTCCTAAATGAACAGAAAAATATAAGAATGTAAAAGTTACTCAAATGGCCACAAATCAATTTAAAATAATTCCTTGTAAGAAAGTGATATATGCTACATCAAAATCATAAGAACAAATGATCATAAAACACCAGAAAGAATATTTACTGATAAATGAAATGGTATACAGACCAAGAAGGCGAGGAATGTGGCCCTGAGTAGTTTCACTAGCATCCATTGATTGCCCATATTGCATTATTTTCTCCCCAAACTGTACTGCTGCTGACTAAACCAAAGTGCAAACAAAATAATTCAGGTCATAAACAGACATAACCAAGGCAACAATAAAACCGAGAAGAGAAAAGAAACACAAACAGCATTAGATAGTCCAATATCTGAAATTGTTTTTCTTAAAAAAAAAAAATTAGTTTTCAGTTCCCTTTATTCAAGTCAACTAAGTGTTTTGACGACAATGTATAGTGCACAATTTAATAAACCTAAGACTACTTTTAAATGGAAGGAAAAAGAGAGAAAAAAGAAAATACTTAAGAAGGATATTATTCAAAAGTAAGTAAGTGCCAGCAGGAAAATAAAATAGAATGTGATGAGAATCCAGGTCCTCAACAGTTATCGCATAAGCTTCAACCTTTCACGCAATTTTACAGCCGTAGGAACCAAGTCAAGTCAGAGGCAGTTATATCAGAGGCAGTTAACAGAGGTTGAGGTAATGGTTGAGGAAAAGGTTAGTGGGGGGTAGTTATTAGCTGGAGTAGTGGGCATTCGTGGAAAGAGATGGTAGTGTAGGAATGTTTTTATAGGAGTGGAATGAAAGTTAGAAAGTTATGCATGTTTTTAATATATTTCTCTAGGCTGCTTACGCAGAGGACTTGAAGAAATATCTTCAGGTTGGGAGGGAGCATCTTGCTCATTGTGTTTTCTTGCTGTGTATTCTACTTTTCCTTGAATTTAAATAAAACATTGATAACATTACTGAGAAATATAATATGCATTGAAGGCCAATATAGTTAAACCAACATTACAGTATAGTAACAAGGAAAGTGCTTTACTATAAAGCAAGTGTTGTAATAGACTAATAGTCCCACAACAATCCTGCATTCTCTACCCTATAATATTCTCTGAAATTTATAGTAATTATTGTAAAATATTTTATTACCATAGATTAGTCATTATTTTAAGCAATCAGTTATTTTAGATAGGTCTATATGTTAGAATGAACCCATATATAATAAAATTAATTCAGAAATAATATTAGAATGATTCTCTGTCTAAATGTCTTGTTTTTTCCTTCAGTCACTCCCTAAAATGCTTGTTTTTCAACAAGCATGATGCTTTGTACTTCTCTCAAATTTGATTAACGGAATACAATTACTTTTATACTCATGACCGAATCTTCAACAGAAAAAATAAAATTAAATTAAATTTTAGCATCTGTAAATAACAAGCATAAAAGACACACAAAAGAAAAAAAATCCCTAAATAAGCACCATCGGTAACTCGTTGAGATTTCCCAAGAAAATAAACAAATTTGCAGAATTCCAATTAGATAATCACTAGCATATAAAAAAGAAGCGACTAGTCGATTAACAAGGGCAAGAGTTATACATACCACAAATTCCTGAAGTAGCATCCGTAGAATATTTTCTAGAAACTGGTTCTCATCTTGGGCCAACTTTGTTTGTTTCTGTTAAACACAAGACAATTAAATTAACCACAGCTTTTAACAATATCACATGAGGACTACCTGAATAAGGAACCTCAGGCTCCTGTTGTTAATCAGTCACCATGTAAAAATCACAGAAATGGAATCATGGATCAAAAATTGAAATCAAAAGACACCATATTGTCATTTTAGTAATTAAAGTTATAGATATCACATAACCCCCCCCCCCCCCCCCCTCTCTCTCTTTCTCTTCTCACAGTGCCTTAAATACAAATTTCTTGCATTTTGTATCCTCAAGCCTGAGGCCTCAACCCCAAAAAGTGATTAAAATAACATGCATAATCAATTCTAATAACAACCACCACCACCAATGTACTCTTTCACAATAAATAAATAAATAAAGAGCTAAAATCACTATTACATCCGAACTTTTAAAAACTAGTTCCACAATGTTCTTTACCATAAAAAGGAAAGGAGTTAGAATTTCAAAAGAATGGATATACCTGAGGCTTTATTACTTCTTGAACAGTCTGCAAAGCAAAACTTTCAGGTGGCCCAGGCTGTACTATGGCCCTTTTAAACACCTCCTGAAAATAATAACAAACCAGAAAAGACATAGCCAATGAAATTGAACAAATGAAAAACCAGATAATAATAGGAGAAAAATAAATAATAAAAATCCAATTCCAAAAAAAAAAAACTCCGAAGCTGAAAAAATAATTGGGAATAATGGATTCTTCCCCCTCTTCAAGAATCGAAACAAACCCACCACCCAAAATGGTGCATGAATTTGATTTTTACCAACCAAAAATTAAACTTTGTGACAATGTTTCACTGAAGAAGTAAAGGAAGCTTACCATTTCAATTTGAACACAAACCCTTCTTTTATTTAACCGAGAAGCCTTCAATAATAACTCAAAAATAAATAAAGATTTGATTTTTCCAGGAGCACAACACCCAAATTGTGATTCTGCAAAATAAATTAAAAAAAAAAAATCAAATTTTCATTTTCATTGCACAAAATTTCGAAAGTACGTGGGGCAAAAAATAAATAAAAATAAAATAAAATACGAATAGGAAGCTTGGGGCACTCACATATAGAGTTGAAAATGCTATTGCTGCTCCTCTTAGTTCTATGGCTTCAATTCAAACACTCAATGAAAGAGAGTGAAACGTTGCTTTGCGAGGACTAAGTAGGAGAATGCTGTGTCTAGGTTCGTATTGTGTTCCCTCTATTAAACATCAAGAAATTTCATTCTTGATTTGTAATTCTGAACCTTGTGTATAAAATAATATATTAAATTTATCGTTAAAGTTATGTCATTTAAAATGACAAATATTTTTTTTCAAATTAAAATGTATAAGAAAACAAACTCTTCTTATACACACCATAAAATGATGTGTCACTTATTTTTATTTATTTTTAAATAGATGAATCTCACACTTGATGTATCAATGATATAAGAATAGAATTTTTCTAATACTTTTCCCTTTTATATATATATATATATATATATATAAGGATCAGGCTACGTAAAATTGAGAAGAAAGAAATCTATATATATATGGAAAAAATGTGTATCATTTTAAAGGATGTAAAGTTGTGTCATTTTAAGTGAAAGAAAGAGATAGATAAAAGAGGAGAGAGAGTGGACAAAAAAATATAAAGGTGTGCGTCTCACCTCCTTGTGAGAGTGAAAGGATATAAGTTGTGTCATTTAAAAGGATAAACATTTTTCCCTATATATATACTAAGGGAAAAATATTTCTGCAGTTAATGCAGACAGGTTATCTGCATTTATTCCCGAAACGACGTCGTTTTGGTATTGAAATCTTAAAAAGTTATAAATATAAAGACTATTATAACCTTGAAATAAATTAAAATTATAAAAACACTATGATTTCTACCCCAAAGCGACGTCGTATTAGGCTTGCTGTAGATAACTTATCTGCAGTAACTGCAGAAAAAGCGAACACATATACTAAAGTAAAACCATTCTTTGAGAAGTTTCCTGACATGTTGCTCTTTCCTTCAATATTTATTTTGTGTTCACACTTGAAACCATTTAAAATATTTTCTCTTTTGGTAACTTTTTAAAAATTCGAAATATAAACTTTATATAAGTGGAAAAAGAGTTCAACACTAATTGATGGTAAACATCTCCATTAATATCTCACTACTTTTTCAAAATTAAAATTTTAAATATGATATAAGTGGGAAAAGAGTTTAACATTGTTTAGTGTCAACCAGTTGTATTAATTCAAACCATACCTTATTAATTCCACAGGGATCCAATTAAGACGTACCATATCTTATTTTGAACTTAAGATGTCCTTTTTATTGTCATAAAATTTGGTGTTATTTGGAGTTGAAGAAAGTTTCTAATCATTGATTATGCATGTAATTCTAGAGATCGGACAAGCTCAGCTTTTTGTCCTTGTATTAACTTCTAGAGATTGGACAAGCTCAGCTTATTCTAAAGAGGCCAAGGCAAAAAAATTTGTGGAACAAGTTTTAGATTTTAATTTTTGGAAACAATGTGCTAGTATTGTGAAGCTTACTGAGCCACTTATTCGTGTGTTGCGTATTGTTGATAGTGAAGACAAACCTGCCATGGGTTTTCTTTATCAAGCTATATTTAAAGCTAGAGAGAAGATGATAAGAAGATTTCAAAGAAATAAGAACAAGGTGGAGCCTTACTTGACCATCTTAGATAGTCGTTGGGATTCACAGCTTTGCAAAAATCTTCATGCTGCTGGTTATTGGTTGAATCTAGGTTGTCGTTTTAATAATGTAGAATTTAAAAAACATCAATTCACTACATCAGGCCTTTTGGATGTCATTGAGAGATATGCGTATGGGGATCCTGGTTTAAATTCTAAATTGACAAGTGAGATGAGAATATTCAAAAATGCTAAGTTAGATCTTGAAAGGCCATCTGCCGTGAATGGAATACCGTGATGCCAGGTAAAATTTATGGTTTATATCTTTCTTTTTTGATGAGCATTAATTGTTATTATTGTTGAATAATATTAATACTAATTTCTCGCATGCAATATTCTAGATCAATGGTGGGAATCTTATGGATGTGGTGCACCAAATTTGCAAAAATTGGCTATTCGTGTTTTAAGTCAAACTTGTAGTGCTTCGGGTTGTGAACGCAATTGGAGCACATTTGAACACATTCATTCGAATAAAAGAAATAGATTAGAGCATCAAAAGCTTAATGATCTTGTCTATGCTCGTTACAACTTGAGGCTGGCACAAAGATAATATTGAGTATTTATTTTTTATTTAATTATTTCTCCAATTATTTTCTAATTTTGAAGATTGGACAATTAATAAACCTAGGAGTCGATTGAAGCATCAAAATTATGATCCAATAAATTTTGAAACATTTGAGGACCACTCTAATTGGGTACTGGAGGAATCACCACCATACTTAACAATTGAAAAAATGGAAGCTTTAAGGACTGAGCTTACACATATGTCCATTCAACCAACTCTAGATGAAGCTGGTGTGTTTACTTATTGTTTTATGATTATTTGATTGTTTGACTACTTCATGTTAATAACTAACATACATGAAAATTTGGCATTTGTTTTAGATCAATTAAATTTGGATGATGATGATGAAGATGAGGCACAAGATATCACCATGGAAACTGCAAATCAAACTGAAGGCAATGAAGAAGGAGAGCATGAATTAATTGACACAACTTTGCCTCCTTGGGCATAATTATATGTTCTTGTGCTAGCAATTTGATCTGTTTGTTTTCTCTTGATAGTGACAAAAGCTATTGTTGTAGACTTGTGATGGATATTAAATGTTTAAGGACCATACAAATATTATATGTTTGTTTGATCTTTTGTTGGACAATGTTGTGTGATTTATTGCTTTTCAAATTACAATATTTGGAATTGGTATCACTTTTTACAGGTATTTGAGTGTGTTAATAGTTTTTTTTAATAAAAATTACAAATTTGTATATACTTTCATGCGGTTGAACCAGTGACCCGGTACCTCGACCGGGTAGATGACCAGGTCGAGTTTAATAACATTGGAAGAAACTGCCCAGTTTGCGTATGAGTGAGAGATGTTTCTGTCTGCGCTGTACTTTACAGCATTGGTTAACGTTTTTGAAAATTTCATATCTCTCTCATTTCTTACCCAAATTAAGCTTATAATATATCAAACTGAAGCTTGAGGAGTCTCCTAGAAAATATTAAAATTTTGGGGAAAACATATGTGTGGACCGTCTGCAGTTTTAAAAACATTGAGGAATGTTTATGTACCTAACATTACAGTTTTGACAGTTTTAAGAAAGTAACTTACGGCAAGCGAAACGCTTGCCTTGATTTGTTTCCATCTTAGTCAGAGTATTCTCCTTCTAAAGATGTTGTGTTTTGCTTGCCTTGTTATTTATTTAGTAATCAATATGGTAATGGATATTTTGAATTCAATACACTTGTTGATGAGGGTATCAGAAATTGTAAAAAGGTTAATGATGGACAAAAAATTATGCATTCATATGCCATGTTGGAAAAATTGTTATCTCGGAGCATAAAAGTGTTGTGAGATCATGTAGTGATCTTATTTATCAATCTCAACATACTGAGACATTGGTTGAAAGACTTATTTATTAGCAGATTGCAACTAATCGTTTAAGGCTACAAGTTTCTATTGATATAACAAGATGAATTGGTTTTCTAGGATGTGCTTTAGAGCACATAATGAAAACATAAATTTACTTAATCGGGATAATTTTGTAGAGTTGATAAGGTTTTTAACTTGTTATAATCAAGAGGTCGCAGCAGTTGTGTTAGGAAAAGCTTATCAAAATGCTTTATATAGTTCCCATCAAACTCCAAAGGAAATTTTTTTTATGTTTTCTCTCAAAAGATAAAGGCCACAATACAGGAAGAATTTTCCAACGCCAAGTTTTGACTTATTTTTTATGAAACTAATTATGTATATATAAAAAAGCATATGACTATTGTTTTAAGTGTCCCTATGCTTATTATGCTCATTGCTTAGTTCGTCGAGTTTAACTTGCCTTGGTTGCTGGATCTCATGAGTTAAAACATATTCATCATTTTTTTTAAATTGAACTTCATAATTAATATTGATACTTCTTTTTGTATACGTAATGATGATTTAAGGGTTGTCCAAACAAATGAAATAACAAGAATAATTGCTATTGATGATTTGGAATTACGAGTCGCTCTTAATCAGATTGGTACTTTACGATGAATTAAGGGTTGTCCAAACAAATGAAATCAAGAATAATTGCTATTGATGATTTGAAATTACGAGTTGGTCTTAATCAGATTGGTACTTTGCATCAAGTTGGAGCTACTCATTGGAGTTCTCATTGCAATTCTTTTTTGTTTAAAATATTAAAAGTCACATATGAAGTTCTTGACAATATTTCTAATGAAGGAAAAACAATATCACAACATGGACATGCAGATAATGCATATTCATCATTGACATCTTTTGATTTTGTCATCATATTGCACCTTATAAAGGAAATTATGGATATTACTAAAGTTCTTTATCAAGCTTTACATCTAGAGTGTCAAGATATTTCAAATGAACTGCACTTGGTTTCAACTACAAAAGAGTTCCTTCAAAAATAAAGAGAGACATGTTCGGATGCTTTCATGGTTCAAGTTCGATAGTTTTGCATAAAACATGACATTAACATTCCATATATAAGTGCAAAATGTATTGGAAGGGGAGGTCGTGCACGAAATGAAGAGGGAATTTTTTCTACAAAATTTTTTTATGAGGGAAATATCTTTTGTGTTACAATTTATTATCAATTGCAAAAATTATATATCAGATTCAATGGAAATACCGTTGAATTATTTGCTTTGAGCTTGACTTTAGATCCAAGAAATGGGTACAATTCATTTAATAGTTATAATATTTGCAAACTGCAAATACATTTTATTCTAGAGATTTCACACAACAAGAAAATTGCACTTGAAGATGGAGTTACAACTTTTTAAGCTTAACATTCCTAAACATCTAGATTAGAATAATCTATCAACTACATCTGAATTATGTTAAAGGCTGGCAAGAATTGAAAACTCAATCGTTTACCCTCTTATTGTTAGAATGATTAGACTTGTACTTACTCTCTCAGTTTATACAATAGCTACTGAACGAGCTTTCTCAGCCATGATTAGACTTGTACTTCAAAATAGAATGAAAGATCAAATTTTTTTCATGATTCTTTGATTACATACATTAAAAAGTAAACTGTAGAAGCATTTAACAATATGAAAAAAATACATAGAGTAAGAGTTAAGTGAAGTGATCTTGATTTCTCTAGTAAAGTTCTTTCAAACTTTTTATATTAGGTCCATATTGTATTGTAAGTACCTTTATTTATAATATAATATTTTTTATTTTCTCCCCTCATCATAAAAAATCATGGGTTTGCCACTATATACAACACTACATTTACCAAAAAAATTTAATATACGACACTTGGAGAAAAAACAATAACTATTATACTTGGCTTTCATACAAAATTTAAACAACATTGGTATTAATGTGATTCTTGAGTCAAGCCTTTTAGGAACACTTTACACTTTCAAAAAACCATTATATAAAGAAAATTTCATAATACAATAAACATCCAAAAACTAAAATGGTGTATAGCTTGTGTTCAAATATCAATCTATAGTCGATCAATATTATAAATAGCTATGAGTCATTCCCCAACAAAGTAAAAGAAAAAAAGAAATAGAAAAATATAATATCTCATAGGGCATAGCCCCATCGTCAAGCACAATATACAATTATTGCATCTTTCTACCCAGATTCAAAAATGAATTACTAATTTATTCCACCAATGGAAAGGAGACTTTCCTTATAAATTATAATTTGACTATGCAAATATCCTTTAACACTAATGTCCTCAACCACTTGGGTACTTGAATCATACCAAGCCAATTCATCATCATCTTTTCTGAAGAATATATCACCATTCTTCCCAAACCCAATAAGCTCCTCAACACAAGGTAAAGGTCCAATGGTGAAAAGTTTGACCCATGATTCCTTCACACCAACCTCACCCAAAATTGATATGTCAAAGTAATTATTTTTTTTAATAGAGTTTGAAATCACTCCAATTGACCCAATAAAAACAACCACGTGTCTATTCAAAAATCTATCAGTAGTAGAATTCCAAGCTATTGATGTTGAATGGAACACCTCATTGCTCATATCAAAGGACACAAATACCTCTTATGTTCCTTCATTATGTTCTTTCATGCCCACCCAATGGCTTACTCCATTCAAGTACACCTCAAAGCTACTAATTGTAAAAATTGCCTTATCGAAATCAATTTTTCTCCAATAGTTACTTTTCTAGTTATAAATCTGCCAACAAGATTTTGGAATATTCACTTGATTCTCTTGTTCCATGATAGGTTCAAATACATTGGATTTGCAACCAATTACATATCGAATCAACTTATAATCATCACCCAAGTGATCATAACCAAACCCATTAACTATTGTAATAAAATCTATACCGGGACTATGGATAAGACCAGAAGGAATAACCTTGAATTCCTCAATCGTAGGGTTCCACAATATAATATTTTGTGTGAAGTAATTGCCTTGAAGGAGACAAATTGTACCATTAATACAAGGACCAAAAATTGAAATATAGTTGTTGCCCTCTAAGAATGGCATTGGCCAATCTAATTTAACCTTCTTCTCATACCTCTCACCCGAAAGCATGAACAAATTGTTATCATTTACCAAGAGAACTTGATCATCATCTTTAGATATGAAATTCTGGTAATACATTCTCATGAATTGAGGGTTCTCAAGTAAATTTGACCAAGATTTGTGTACACACCTAAATCGATTCAAAGATTTCATAGGCAATTTCAATAGAATACTCAAAGCAAGATCATCAGGTATGTTGTTACTAACCTTCTCATTCGTGGGCGTAACTCTTTTCCCTAGTTTCTCCATCTGGGTTGGTAGATTGTTTCAATAGCGATTTCAAGATAGAGATGGTAAAGTGTAAACCAACTTAACGTATATTTAAGTCCTCCAATATCTTGACTAATCGTATTATTTAATTCAAGTTTAGAAAAATAAATTAATTAAACTCTTAATTATAAGATTTTATTCTTATAAAAATTTGAAAAGGAAAGAAAAATGGGGCGGCGTGGGAATGGGGAAGAAGGGGGGTTGGGAAATAGGGTTACACGCTGCCCAAAACGCAACGTTTGAGTTTGAAACCAACTGGCGCGGAACCGCGCCACTTTTCTGGATCTTGTACTGCGCAGCCGCGCGGGCTCGCGCGAGAATGGCGCTGAGTCGCACCAATTCTCTGATCCTTATACTGAACCCTTTTTTTTAAAATAAATATAAATGAAAAATACTTTGCATTGGGTTGCCTCCCAATAAGCGCGTGTTTAACATCCCGAGCCTGACGGTTATCTCTTTATGTACCAACAGAATTAAGATATTGAGCCACAGTGTTCTGTGACACAAGCCCTCCATGATAGAATTTCAACCTTGAACTATTCACCTTGAAAGGTCTATCTTCATCAAGTGGTGATATTTCTATTGTACCATAAGGAAAAACCTTTTTCACCACATAAGGACCAGACCATCTTGATTTTAACTTACCTGGAAACAACCTCAGGCGAGAGTTATACAGCAAAACCTATTGGCTAGGCTCAAACTCCTTGTGAATGATCCTGCTATCAAGCCACTTCATTGTTTTTTCCTTGTAGATTCTGGCACTCTCATACGCAGAATTTCTGAACTCATCAAGCTCACTTAATTGAATCTGTCTTTTCTCAAGAGCTTTTGTTGGATCAAAATTCAGAAACTTGATAGCCCAGAAAGCTCTATGCTCTAACTCCACAGGTAATACTAATTGATAAGGTGACATACCTATAGGAGTCTTAAAAGCAGTCTGGTATGCCCACAGTGCATCATCCAACCTCTTAGACCAATCTTTCAAAGAATTTCCAACAGTCTTTTCAAGAATTCTCTTCAGTTCTCTGTTAGAAACCTCTACTTGACCACTGGTTTGAGGATGATAAGGTGTAGCCACCTTATGTTTAACACCATATTTAGCCAGTAAATTGTCTAACTGCTTGTTACAAAAATGAGCACCTCCATCACTTATTATGGCTCTAGGTACACCAAACCTTGTGAAGATATTCTTCCTCAGGAAATTCACAACTACCTTGGCATCATTAGTAGGAAGAGCCATAGCCTCCACCCACTTGGACACATAGTCAACAGCTACAAGAATGTACTGATTGGAATAAGATGAGGGAAATGGTCCCATAAAATCTATTCCCCACAAATCAAAGAGCTCAACCTCCATTATGCTATTTAAAGGCATTTCATCTCTACGGGATATGTTACCCGTCTTTTGACATTTTTCACACACTTCTACAAAGTCTTTTGCATCCTTGAAAAGGGTTGGCCAATAGTACCCACTCTGCAACACTTTATGAGCAGTTCTATTTCCTCCAAAATGGCCACCATAATCTGAAGCAAGACAATGCCATAGAATCTGACTCACTTCATATTCAGGAACACATCTTCGCAGGAGACCATCAGAACATTGAAAATACAGAAATGGGTCATCCCATATGTACCTCATGCATCATGAAGAAACTTCTTCAGTTGCTGCTTAGTGAGTTCATCAGGCAATTTCTTGACCACCTTGAAATTAGCAAAATCAGCAAACTAAGGTTCTATAACAATAGCCATCACCTGTTCATAAGGAAAAGAATCCTTGATTTCTTGCTCATGACCATCTTGTAAATCCTTCTCCTGAATCCTTGACAAATGATCTGCCACTTTGTTCTCCATGCCAGATTTATCTTTAATCTTCATATCAAACTCTTGGAAAAAAAGCATCCATCTCAGCAACCGTGGCTTGGCATCCTGCTTAGTCATCAAAAATTTTATGGCAAAATGGTCAGTATAAACAATAACTTTAGAACCAAGGAGATAAGATCGGAATTTATCAAGTGCATAGACCACTGCTAGCATTTCTTTCTCAGTTGTTGCATAATTAACTTGAGCTTCATTCAACACCTTGCTAGCATAATGAATGACATGTAGCATCTTATCCTTCCTCTGACCAAGAACAGCTCCAATGGCATAGTCACTAGCATCACACATAAGCTCAAATGGAAGACTCCAATCAGGAGCTATAAGAATAGGAGCAGTAGTGAGATTTTCTTTCAACAAGTTAAAAGCCTTGAGAATGCATCATCAAAAATAAACTCATGTTCCTTCACCAAAAGTTGGCTCAATGGCTTGGCAATTTTGGAGAAGTCTTTTATAAACCTTCGATAGAAACCTGCATGACCAAGAAAACTTCTAACTCCAGTAACATTAACTGGAGGAGGAAGTTCTTCAATCAACATCAATTTGGCTTTATCAACTTCTATGCCATTCGTAGAAATTCTGTGGCCTAGAACAATTCCCTCTTGTATCATGAAATAACACTTCTCCCAGTTAAGAATAAGATTAGTTTCTTGGCACCTTCTCAAAACTTTAGACAAGTTGTCTAAACATAAATCAAAACAAAAGCCAAAAACAGAGAATTCATCCATGAACACCTCCAAACATTTCTCTACCATGTCAGAGAAGATAGAGAGCACACACCTCTGAAAAGTAGCAGGTGCATTACATAGACCAAAAGGCATCCTTCGATAGGCAAAAATTCCAAAAGGGCACGTGAAAGCTGTTTTCTCTTGGTCTTCAGGAGCTACTGAAATTTGATTGTAGCCACTATAACCATCCAAGAAAAAATAGTATGCATGACTAGCCAATCTTTCCAGCATTTGATCAACAAAAGGAAGAGAAAAGTGATCCTTTCTTGTTTCCGCATTTAGCCTCCTGTAGTCAACACACATTCTCCAACCAATTATAGTCCTGGTAGGAATAAGCTTATTCTTGTCATTTTTAACTACAGTAACACCCCCTTTTTTGGAACAGTTTGTACAGGGCTCACCCAAGCAGCATTAGAAATTGGATAAATCATACCTGCATCAAGGAGTTTTACCACTTTTTTTCTTACTACCTCTTTCATCGTAGGATTGAGCCTTCTTTGAGGTTGCCTCACAGGTTTTATGTCATTCTCCATGAGAATCTTATGAGTGCAAACAGAAGGACTTATACCTTTAAGATCAGAAATGGACCACCCCAACGCAGTTTTGTGCTCTAAGAGAACCTTTTTTAGCTTTCTTTCATCATCAGAAGACAACCCCTTATTGATAATTACAGGGTAAGTCTCCTCATCACCCAAGAAAATATACTTTAAAGTATCAGGTAACTCTTTCAATTCAACTTTTGGAGCACCAACCTCTTTATCATACTCCTTCTTTTCAAGAACCTTAGAGACATCAACAATCTCATCTTCGAAGTGAACATGATCACGGTTTTTCAAGTCCTCTTCAAGCTCTTGAATAGGAGTTTTCTCTTCATGAACCACCTCATCTAAGACATCCAGTCTGAAAAAATCACCATTTTCAATGGTCTTTTCATACAATCAAAAACATTGACAGTAATTGTTTCTTCATTCATTCTCAACACCAGCTTTCCTTGTTATACATCAATCATTGCACGAGCTGTGGCTAAGAAAGGTCTAACCAAAAGAAGAGGCATTTCATTTTCTGCCTCCATATCAAGCACCACAAAATCAGCATGAAAAGATGAACTTATCCACTTTCACAAGAACATCTTCAATTGTACCGCTGGGCTTCCTTAAAGATCTATCAACAAGTTGAAGAGATACCAAAGTAGGCTTCAACTCAGTGATCCCCAAGGATTTACAAACAGAAAAAAGCATCAAATTAATGCTAGCCCCAAGATCGCATTATGCTCTGCCAATTTTAGTTTTACCAATTTCAATAGGAATATTGAAACTTCCAGGATCACGAAGCTTAGGAGGGAATTTCCTTGTAATAATAGCACTGCACTCCTCAATAAGTGTTACAGGTTGGCACTCTTGCAACTTGTGCTTCCTTAACAAGAGATCCTTCATGAATTTAGCATAATTAGGCATACTAGCCAGAGCTTCAGCAAAGGGAATGTTGATATGCAACTTCTTGAAGATATCAAGAAATCTGCCATACTGTTGCTTCTTAAGTTCTGGCTTGAACCTTCCAAGATAAGGTGCCATTTTCTCAAGATATTCATCACTCAGCTCAAATCTCTTCTTTTCAACCACAATGGGTTGCTCTTTTTCTTCACCTTTCTGATGAGGCTTCACAACCTTAGAAGGAATTTTAGCTTCTTTTTCTGGCTCCTCAACCTCATTAAGCTTTTCGCCATTCTTCACATCTATATTTAGCATTTCTGGAGATGCTACTACCATACCACTTCTAGTTGTGATGGCCATACAATCTTCCTTTGGATTAGTAATTGTGTTACTAGGAAAAGTACCTGGAGTTCTATCAGTAATTTGTTTAGCTAGTTGGCCAATTTGATTCTCCGAATTTCTGATAGATGCATTTGTGTTCTTGATATTAGCTCTAGTCTCCTCCATGAAAGCATTAGAGTGTTGAGCCATTTGTCCTACTAGCTTCTCCAAATCAGAAGGCTCCTTGGGTTGGATTGGTGGAGGCTACAAATAGTTGTTAGACTTGAAATCAAGACCAGTTCCCTGAATCCTCCTTTGATAATTATTACCTCCAGCAGAAAAATTCTGACATCTTTGAACATTTTGCTGTTGAGGTCTTTGGTCATACCAAATTCCATTTACCTGCATTTATTGAGGAGAATCAGAAGACATCAAAGTAGGACATTCATTAGACTCATGATTGTCCTGGCAATATTCACACACAACAGCAAAAGCTTTATCTTGAACACCAGAAAGTTGCATCTTATCAAGCATTGAAGTCAAATTTGCCATTGTTGAGATAATAACTTATTTTCAGCCAACACCACATCATTGCCTTCTAGCTGAAGAATACCTTTCTTAGGCT